TATCCTAGGGCTGTGGATGAAACTTAAACAGGCCATCCAATCATCACCAGGGCTTGGAACACATTAAGGAACACATTGATAAGTGTTATTATCATTAACAGAATATGGTAGCACTGTGGACAGCCAAGGTGGGCTATGTATTAGTTCCCCGCCACTGCTGTAAGAATTTAATGCAGAACCACTGTCTTCACACACACGTGAATTCTCTCATCGCTGTGGAGATGAGAGGTCCAAACTCAGGTTCACTGGGCAGAAGACAAGGTGTCAGCAGAGCCTTGCTTCCTCCAGGGGCTCCGGAGGAGAATCTGTGCCTTGCTGCTCCCTGTCTCTGGTGCCAGTGTCTCTTGGCTCGTGGTTGCATCATGCCAGTCTCTGTGATTGTGTCACTGTCTCCTAATCTGTGTGTGGTCAAGTTTCCTTCTGCCTCCTTCCCCTTTAGGGCACACTGTATTAGGTCTCACCCGGAGGATTCTGGATCATCTCCTCATCACAAGTTAGTTTATTTATTTGAAAGAGAGAGAGAGAGAGAGAGAGAGCTCAATGACACCTGCACTGTAACGTTACATTTACAGGTTCCAAGGGTTAGGATCTGTGTGTCTTTGGGGACCCTTATTAGGCCATCTGCAGGCTGCCCAGCCCAGTTTGGAATGGAGAGGAAGGGAACATCTGAGACATGCCCATTCCTGAGGGAGCTGATTACTGAACCCTGCCATGATGGGGGCGGGAAGTGACCGTGGTGGGAAACACTCAGGGTAGACAGAGGGACCGTATATGAACTGGGAATTGCAGACATATTTGAAAGGGAGAGAGACACAGAAACAGAAACAGAAAAACAAACAGGGAGAACTTTCCTCTGTTGGCTCACTTTCCAAATGACTGTAACAGCCAGGGCTGGGCAGGGCTGGGCAGGGCTGGGCCAATGCCAGGCAACAGGGACTCAGTACAGGTTGACAGGGACCCAACTACTTGAGGTAGCATCTTCTGTCTCCCAGGGTGCACTTAGCAGGAAGCTGGAGTCTGGGAGGAGAACCAGGACTTGAACCCAATCCGTCTGCTGTGAGATACAGGTATCTTAAGCACCAAGCCAAATGCCTACTGCCTGGGTTTAAATCTTTGAGTTACTATCAAACGTCTTCCACAGCAGTCCCATCCTTTCCATTCCATCTTGCAGGGTCCTGAGGTTCCAGTTTGTCCACATCTTTGCCAATACTTGTCAGTTTCTTTTCTTTTCTTCTTCTTCTTTTTTTTTTTTTTTTTAAGATTTTATTTATTGGGGCCGGTGCCATGGCTCACTTGGCTAATTCTTTGCCTGCAGTGCCGGCATCCCATATGGGCATCGGGTTCTAGTCCCGGCTGCTCCACTTCCAGTCCAGCTCTCTGCTGTGGCCCGGGAGGGCAGGGGAGGATGGCCCAAGTGCTTGGGCCCTGCACCCGCATGGGAGACCAGGAGAAGCACCTGGCTCCTGGCTTCAGATCGGCACAGTGTGCTGGCGGTAGCGGCTATTTGGTCTCTCTCACTGTCTAACTCTATGTGTCAAATTAAAAAAATTTTTTTTTATTTATTTGAGAGGCAGAGTAACAAATGACCACAAGGGCCGGAGCTGAGCCGATCTGAAGCCAGGAGCCAGGAGCTTCCTCCTGGTCTTCCATGTGGTGTAGGGACACATGTACTTGGGCCATCTCCCACTGCTTTCCCAGGCCATAGCAGAGAGCTGGATTGGAAGAGGAGCAGCCGGAACTAGAATCGGTGCCCAAATAGGATGCGGGCACTGCAGGCAGAGGATTAACCTACTGTGCCACAATGCCAGCCCTTTTCTCTCTCTCCTCTCTCTCTTTTAATATATATATATATATAGCCTATCTAGTGGATGCAAAGTGGTGCTTCATTGTGGTTTTGATTTACATTTCCCAAATGCATCTAATTCCTAATGACTGCAAATCATGTCCTTTTATGGATATCACAGTGTTTACCTCTCCACTGATAAACATTTCGTCTCTGCCTTATCCTGGGCCTCCCACCCCCTGCCCCACCCTTTTGCCCCTATAAACACATACATTTCAGTGCACACCCTCACATTCTTAGGTGACAGCCTGGACTCTGGAGTTGAGCAGGTGAGCTTAGGGTGCAGCGACTCCACTTGGCTGGAGCTATGCGTTCAACGTCTTCAATGGGAAAAGTGAGAATCAATAAGACTTGCTTCACAGGTGTTTCTGAAGATGAAGCAGAAATGCGTGCAAAGCCCTTAAACTAAGGGCTTCTGCACGGTCCGCCCTCGATGTTCTCGCTCTCTCGTTGCTCCTACATTTGATTCCTTCCTTAAACTCCTAGAGGTGATGTTGCTGGGTCAATGGACGTTTTGTACGTATTTGAAGGCTTTTGACACATGGGCAAGTTGTGCTTTCCAGGTGCTAATCTATGTTCCAGCAGCCAGGTGGGCCGGGGTTTGTTTCTAGCATCTTAAACATGGAGGGATTGTTATTAAAAAAAAATCACTGCTAAAATCTCATTGTTGTTTTAAACTTTCAGGTCTTTGATTACTAGTGAGGTTGAATATATTTTGGCAATATATGGCTCTAGTGAATTGCCTTTTTATGTCCGTGCCCAATTTTTCTGTTGTGTTGGTACACTTGTCTAAATTTCTGGAAGAGCTCTTTTTTCAAGGATATTAACCTAACTTGTCTGTTCTTTTGCCAAAGATGATGCATTTCCATTTTGTCACCTGCTTTTTTTTTTTTTTTTTTTTTGACAGGCAGAGTTAGACAGAGAGAGAGAGAGAGAAAGGTCTTCCTTCCGTCGGTTCACCCCCCAAATGGCCGCTACGGCCAGTGCACCGTGCTGATCCAAAGCCAGGAGCCAAGTGCTTCCTCCTGGTCTCCCATGCAGGTGCAGGGCCCAAGCACTTGGGTCATCCTCCACTGCCTTCCTGGGTCACAGCAGAGAGCTGGACTGGAAGAGGAGCAACTGGGACAGAACCCAGCGCCCCAACCGGGACCAGAACCTGGGGTGCCAGCTCCGCAGGCGGAGGATTAGCCAAGTGAGCCGTGGTGCCAGCCTGTCACCTGCATTTTAATTTCCTATTGCTACGTGGCCTGGTTCGCCACTATAGGATCTGTAAATACTGAGCTGGCATTTCGTGGAGGGAATAGATGGATGTTGAGCTATTTGTTTACTTCTCTCAGCCTCGGTTTCACCATGTGTGAAATGAGGGGGTTAGACTAAAAATGCTGCTTACTTCCACATTTGATATTTAATAATATTGTTCACACATCTTGTAAGTTTAGTATTTAGTGTTATTTCATGTCTTATTTTGCACTGATATGTAGTGGCACTAACTATAAATAGAATTATTCTCTAAAACTCCTTTACAGTTAGGTTTACAGATTCATGAGAGGGGCTCTAAGTATATAAGTATATAAAGGTGGTTTGGTATTTATATATATTTTTATTTTTTAAATATTTATTTATTTATTTGGAAGGCAGAGCTGTAGAGAGGGAGAGAGAGAGAGAGCTCTATCCACTGGTTCGTTCCCCAAATGGCTGCAACTACTAGAGCTGAGCCTATCTGAACCCAGGAGCCAGGAGCTTCTTCCAGATCTCCCAAGCAGGTGCAGGGGCCCCAGCACTTAGGCCGTCTTCTACTGCTTTCCCAGGCCAAAGCAGAGAGTTGGATTGGAAGTGCGGCAACCAGGACTCGAACCAGTGCCTGTATGGGATGCTGGCACTGCAGGTGGTGGCTTTACCCACTACACCACAGCGCAGGCCCCATATATGTATTTTTAAGATTATTTGTTTATTTTCATTATATTTGAAAGGCAGAGTGACAGAGAGGGAGAGACAGCGAGATGGGGGAAGATCTTTTATCTGCTGGCTCACAACAACTAAGCTGGGTCAGGCCAAAGGCAGGGACCCATACTCAATCTCAGTCTCTCACATGAGTGGCAGAGACGTGAGTACTTGGCCATCGCTTGCTGCCTCCCAGGGTGGGTCCGAAGCACCTGGATCAGAAACGGAGTAGTTGGGACTCAAACCAGGCACTCCTACATGGGATGTGGGTATCCTAAACCGTGACTCAACTGCTGCAGCACACACCCACCCTGTTTTATGTATTTTAATTTTGGTGACCTGGGAAAATATACATATATCATAACCCTTCAGGTCACACAAATTAAAACCTCTCATTGCTTATGTGTTGTACTAGATGAGTCATTTGTAATTCTCTCTCCCTCTCTTTTAAAGATTTTATTCATTAAAAAAAAAGATTTATTTATTTATTTGAAGGCAGAGGCAGAGAGAGAGAGGTCTTCCATCCGCTGGTTCACTCCCCAGATGGCTGGAACGGCGGGAGCTGCGCCAATCCAAAGCCAGGAGCCAGGAGCTTCTTCCGGGTCTCCCACACGGGTGGAGGGGCCCAAGGTCTTGAGCCATCTGCTACTGCTTTCCCAGGCCATAGCAGAGAGCTGGATCAGAAGAGGAGCAGCTGGGTCTGGAACTGGCGCCCATATGGGATGCCAGCACGGCAGGCAGTGACTTTACTCCTTTCGTCACAGCACCGGCCCTGATTTTATTCATCTGTTTGAGAGGTAGAGCTACAGACAGAGAGAGGAAGAGAGAGAGAGAGAAAGAGAGAGAGAGAGAGAGAGAGAGAAATCATCTGTTGGTTCACTCCCCAAATGGCTGCAGCGGCCAGAGCTGGGCTGCTCCGAAGCCAGGAGACATTTCTTCTGGGTCTCTCAACTCCCACGCTTCCGGGTCCCCCACGCTTCTGGCTCACAGAAGCCAGGAGCTTCTTTCGGGTCTCTCAAACGTTTGAACCTGCTTTTCCCAGGCCGTTAGCAGAGAGCTGGGTCGGAAGAGGAGGAGCCGGGACACGAACTGGCGCCTGGGCGGAGGTTTTACCCGCGACGCCACAGCGCCGGTCCTGTAATTCTTTTTAAGGAATTTTTTTGTTTTTGCACCATGGAGACCACTCTAAATGCCAGGTGTTCTTCTTGTTGGACAGATACCGGATTCGGTTACCACCCCCTACGCTAACTTTAAGAGCAACTTCGCGAAGAGGCTGTCAGCGGGGGTGCCTGTTGCCAGCAGCCCAATCGCCACGAGATGGCAGCAAAGTCCAACCAGGGAGCTGTCCGCCTGTCGCCTCCCGGAAGCGCGGTCGGCCGCCGGCCTCTCAGAATCGCCGGGCAACGACACCTTGACGCCGGGTGAGGGGACAGAAGCGCCACAGCCCAGTTTTGAAATGTTGGAAACGGTTACTATACTCCTGAGAGACTCTGTGTTCTGTAGAATCGTCTAGTGTCCCATTTAGCCAGCTCTGCCCTCTTTTTCTTCCTTGAATGTGAAATTTCCACGGTGGCTGGGTGGTTGGGTGCGGGGAATGAAGCAAAATCGACAGGAATTACGTGTTAAGAGAAAAAATTTTAAATACATTAAATTGAACAGTTTAGCTGCGCAAAAAACACTTGGCGAATTAGGCGGCGCTCAGAGCCGCTCGGCCGCGTGGTGGTGCGGGCGGCCTTTCCGGAGCAGGCAGCCTGACTAGCGACAGCGCCGCTGTGCGAACACGGTCTGATCCCTCGGGTGTGACTGCCGGAAGCTTGGCCACGACTGGGTGAGACTCAGCTATTGGTTACAAAAGTTAAGAAGGCTTTCCCTTAGCTTGCGTACCAAATTCGCTGCAGTTTGTTGTATAGGGATTCGAAAGTGTGTGGAGCCATCCTCCGATCAGATTTGGAAGTCACACTCACACACACACACACACACACACACACACACGATAGGGGTGGGTGTGAGGAGGAGATCTTCTTCCATCGGCTGGTTTACTACCCCAAAGCCCACAGTAGCCAGGGCCGGGCCAAAGCCAAGAACCCAGAATTCAATACAGATATCCCATGTGAATAGCAGGGACCCAAGTACTTGAACGCCACCTGCTGTCTCCCAAGATGTGCATTGGCAGGAAGCTGGATTGGAAGTGAAGGAGCTGGGACTTGAACCAGACACTCCAGTGTGGGATGCAGGCAACCCAATCAGTAACTTAGCTACCTGGCCAGATTTGATTGTAACATGTCTTATGCTAATTTAAATATGTTTCCGAGACTTGCAATGCTAGGTGATCGCTTTTTGTAAAGATTATATATGTGTGTGTGTATATATATATGTAAGTATATGTATATGCACATGTGTATATGAATGCTTTTATTTTGCAAAGTATAGAATTTTTTTTTTTTTTTGACAGGCAGAGTTAGACAGTGAGAGAGAGAGAGACAGAGAGAAAGATCTTCCTTTCCATTGGTTCAACCCTCAAATGGCCACTATGGCTGGCGCGCTGTGGCTGGCATGCTGCGCTGATCCGAAGCCAGAAGCCAGGTGCTTCCTCCTGGTCTCCCATGCAGGTGCAGGGCCCAAGCACTTGGGCCATTCTCCACTGCCTTCCTGGGCCACAGCAGAGAGCTGGACTGGAAGAGGAGCAACCGGGACAAAATCTGGCGCCCCAACCAGGACTAGAACCTGGGGTGCTGGTGCCACAGGTGGAGGATTAGCCAAGTGAGCCGCGGCGCCAGCCTAAAGTATAGAATTTTTATGACTCTGATAAGGTTCTTGGTCTATGGAAGGCAGCAAAAATGTTTTGGTAATGGGATAATCAGGTGTGGACTAGGAGAGGAAAAAGATGAAAGTGGGAGAGGATGAGAGGAAGGGAAAGCAGAGGAAGGAACAGAGATGGAGCCATGGAGGGATGACTGGAAGGGGGGAGAGAGAGAGAGAGAGAGAGACAAGAATGAGAGTCTGAAACCTGCCCTGTGGCTGGGGTGGGAAGTGGGCCCCAAAGTCCTCCTGCAGTGGAAGCTTCCAAGATCACCCTGAGCCCTGGAACACAAGCTCTTCTACTGAAGCCTGCAATTCCCACTGGGGCACAGCCATTTGTATTCCTAGTTCTCAGAAGCAAAACTGGCCACCTGTCATCTGAGGATGTCATTCCCACCAATCCTTTCTACAATGCCAGGCAACGTGGCTCTGACAGCCAGCCTGTTACTTAGTTAAGACACATGTTGCCCGCTGTGCCAGCTCCTCTCCATGACATCAGATGCAAGGAGACATTGCAGTGCCGCAGACTGAAAGTGGCCCAGGTCTTTTCAAACCAACACAATTCCCATGCAATGACAGGTAGTCATTCGGAAAGCAGCAGGAGGCGCGGGATTGCAAGGAAGATTGTTGTTATAGCTATCTCCTGCAAGGAATCTCTGCTGTTCCATTGTAACTGAGGGGCAGTTTTTATGCTGATTATTTCAGATGAATTTCTGGCCAAAATTAGGGACTCACTGTTTTTTCTAGGCCCTAAATTAATTTTTGGTTTTTGAAAAAGGATATAGCTTGGGGCTGGCGCTGTGGCTCACTTGGTTAATCCTCCGCCTTGTGGCACCAGCATCCCATATAGACGCTGGGTTCTAGTCCCAGTTGCTCCTCTTCCAGTCCAGCTATGGCCAGGGAAGACAGTGGAGGATGGCCCAGGTGCTTGGGCCCTGCACCCATGTGGGAGTCCAGGAGGAAGCATCTGGCTCTTGGCTTTGGATTGGTGCAGCTCTGGCTGTAGCGGCCATTTGGGGGGTGAACCAATGGAAGGAAGACCTTTCTCTCTGTCTCCCTCACTGTCTAACTCTACCTGTCAAATAATAATAATAATAATAAAAAAGTATATAGCATTGTGTGAAAAATTCAGAATTCCAACAGACAGATTAGTAGTCAAAAGGGTTTCACAAGGAAGCCTTTTTATTTTTATTTTTTAGTTAATAGTGGGCATTTATCAGATCCAGGGATCTGCTGGTGGGATTTCTTTTCTCTTTTTCAGGGACAGGGCTACTGAATACCTTCCTGTCTTCAGTAGTACACATACAGAGAGCTTCATTTGCAGTCTGGTTTCCCTCTACTGCTGGACTTGACCTTTTTGTTTATAGCCAGGATGACTCTTAGGAGTAGCAGCCACCAGTTGCAGCTTTTTATTTCTCATTGGAGGTTCTGAGGGCTGGCCACCTCTCCCCTGCATTCTACAAACAGCACAGTAAAGCAAGTGTGCGTAATTTCTCAGCACAAAGAGCAAGATCTAAAACTTGCGGGAATATTAAATGTGTTCATCCTTCCTCCTTCCTTCACGTAATATAGCTTTTGGGTTTTGGAGCTCTCTCAGGACCTGACGTGCCAGGCTCTCACAACTTCAATGATGGTTTATCAAGTCCATGGTTGTCCAAATGAAGAAAGGACTCTCACATGGCGAAAGGCCAAGATTTCCCAGTGGTCCCTTGGCCCCTCAGCTGAACAAGTGATACAACACATAGTTATTTCTGGAGGGGATGCTTTGACAAGTTTTCAGCACAGTTAGAAGTCTGGTACAGGGCTTTCATATTATTATGAACCATATTAATGCACATGACGTGGACTCTCCTGTTCTTTTAACTTGGAAACTGTTTCACTGTTGTCATCTCAGACGACCCGAACAATATCTTTCTGCAGTAGGAAGGGAAGAGGTGACGTGATTTGTTCATGATCACATAGTAAATATCAATGACTGGCAAAGCAAGCATTCTGTAGTGGCTTCCGGGCAAGGTGATGGTGGCTTGGGCAAAACAAGCACTCTTTGCGCCATCACTTGAAACCATTGAACCCTCTGTTCTTCACATGGGCACTTCTGTTCTTCCCATGCAGAGGGAGAACTTCACTGCACCTGCTGCGGCTGGGGTCAGAATTTGAGTCTCAGCATTTCCTCTCTGCTCCATAGGCCACTGAGGCTGTTTCTCCTTGAGTGTTCACTTAGGAACCCAGCACTCGGGATAAGGCCTGGCCTCCACCACCCTCCTTGCCCCACACACGGATTTTGGAGAGACAAGGACCCGGGTCTTTGTTCGTATTCTGTTCTGTGAAAGAGACCTCCATTCAAAGTGAGTATGTTGTTTTAAAAACCAAACTGAAATGCAGGTGTCTGTTTTACAGGATCCTTTAACGAACCATTCAAGACTCCCGTCCAAGAAGGTTCTGAAACAAAGAACTCTGCTTTGCACTTTGGCGAGACACCTCGTGCACTGGACAGAGGCTGGAAGGAAAGCGTTGCCTCCAAAGGCCAGGTAGGTGCAGGGGGAAAACCGAGGATCCTCCGTGCTGAGACACTGGGACCCAGCTGGGAGGAAGAGCGGCTTCGCTGTTCCTGCCAGTCCCTGAGAAACCGTGCATCCCCGAGGGAAACCGCAAATGAGTGAAGGGCTAGCATGGAGGCACTTGGTCAAAGCAACGGAGTGTCTCAAAAATCCCACGAGGGCAGTCCCCAAAGTGGACGTGAGAATGACCAGCGAGAGAGGACATATTCAAAATATGATAAAGCTATATTTACTGAGGTGTGCTTCCTGTTGGTCTCAGATCTCTATCTATGGTCTTTTCCAACTGTTTGGTGGGCTTGGACTGACCTTTGGGCTCTCTTAGGATAAATTCAATTCTTTTTTTTTTTTTTTTTGAAAGGCAGAGTGGACAGTGAGAGAGAGAGACAGAGAGAAAGGTCTTCCATTTGCCGTTGGGTCACCCTCCAATGGCCGCCGCGGCCGGCACACCGTGCTGATCTGATGGCAGGAGCCAGGTGCTTATCCTGGTCTCCCATGGGGTGCAGGGCCCAAGCACTTGGGCCATCCTCCACTGTACTCCCAGGCCACAGCAGAGAGCTGGCCTGGAAGAGGAGCAACCGGGACAGAATCCGGCACCCCAACCGGGACTAGAACCTGGTGTGCCGGTGCCGCAAGGCGGAGGATTAGCCTAGTGAGCCGCGGCGCCTCAATTCTTTTTTTAAATTAAATTTCATTTTTTGAAAGATTTATATGTGTGTGTGTATATATATATCTATATCTATATCTATAATATGAGTGTTATTTTATATCAATGAGAGAGTATTACTGCACCCCAGGGGCACTGGCAATGTCAGAAGCCATTTTGGATGGTCACAGCATGCATGAGTCGGGGTAGGGCAGCTGGGGTGGCAGCTGGAGCTTCTGCTAAGCATCCTGACTGCACAGAGCAGCCCCGCAGCAGTGACGCCTCCGCTGCACCTGCCAGTAGTGCTGAGACCGAGACACCCTGCTCTACGGTTCATCGCTGTATCTTGAATACTAAAAAATCCCACAGCTCATTGATTGGCAGTGCCTATCATGCAAATGAAAGAATACCATGAGGAGGAAAACCAAATGATCAAAATGATGCCTTTCAGAGGGACTTCTGTCTGAACCATGGTGATCAAATGATTGTCACGCACATAATATTAAATATATAATTGAAAAGGAAAAAAGAGAATCTTTTCTGCTTTACCTACCCTTACTGTAGTCTTAGAAAATCCCAATAAATATTTTTCTTTCCAATTATAACTAATTTTCCTAGCTGTCTTTGAGTGGAGTTGGATGTCAGAATGCCAGAGGTGCGCTCTTTACATACAGACCCAAAGACATAGCACTCAGGTTTTTGTCCTCATAGAAATTTAGGCAACTTTCTTAATGTCCTTGTGACTTGATGTACCCATTTATTTAAAAACTATTTATTTGAGAGGCAGAGAGAGAGAGAGAGAGAGAGAAACTCCTCTCCACTGGTTCACTCCCCAAATGACTGGGAAATTGAAGCTGAAAGCCAGGAACTCAATCCAGGTCTCCCATGTGGGTGTTGGAAATTCAATGACTTGAGATATCACCTGCTGTCTCCCAGGGTATGTGGTAGCAGGAAGCTGGAGTTAGGGAGCCAGCCAGGTATTGAAACCAGGCACTCCAATATGGGGGACCGGTGGCTTAGCTGTTATGCCAAACAACAGATCTGGTGCATGCGTTTCTAATGGATGAAAGTGTTATGGAAAAGGACTTTTAAGATAATTAACTTCAATCCCTTACATATTCCTAATAACAACAACAGGGCACAGAGAAAAACCTCAGAACATCTCAGAGCATGTGCCGAGAGACAATGTTGATCGAAATCTTTCTTGCAAAAAGTGGTCCACTCATGCTCAACTTCATTATTTTGTTTGAGATTTATTTGTTTATTTATTTGAAAGGCCGAGTTTCAGAAAGGTGGAGGCAGAGAGAGAGAGAGAGAGAGAGAGAGAGAGAGAGAGAGGGAGATCTTCCATCCTCTGGTCCACTCCCTAAATGACCACAATGGCCAGAGCTGAACTGATCTGAAGCCAGGAGCCTGGAGCTTCTTCCTGGTCTCCCAAGCAGATGCAGGGGCCCAAGCACTTGGACCATCTTCTACTGCTTTCCCAGGCACATTAGCAGGGAGCTGGATTGGAAGTGGAGCAGCCAGGACTCGAACCAGTGCCCATATGGGACACCTGCAGTGCAAGCAGTGGCTTTACCTACTATGCCACAGTGCTGGCCCCAAGAGATTTATTTATTTATTTGTTAGATAGATAGAGAAGAAGAAAGAGAAAGAGAGACAGAGACCTTCTTCCATCTGTTGGTTCATTCTCCAAATGGTCCCAATAGCCAGGAAGCCAGGAGCCTGGAACTCCATCCAGGCCTCCCACATGGGTGGCAGGGGCACAAGCACTTGGGCTATCTTCTACTTTCCCAGGCTCATTAGCAGAGAACTGGATCAGAAGTGGAGCATTTGGGACTCGAACTGGTGCTCATATGGGATGCTTGGTGTTGCAGGTGGCAACTTAGCCTGCTGTGGCACAACACCAGCCTCTCAACTTCATCATTTTGAGGAGGTCTTTTAATTCCAGAGAGTACTCGAAATGTGACATTTCAATTTTTTGCAGGCTTTGTGCTAACTAACGATGCCAGTGAGTGATAGTGGTAGCTCCTGTGTCATGCATCATGTATGAGGGTGTATATCTGTTTCTAAAGTAGTCTTATCTTTATTTGCTTGTTTTCAGAAATGCCTGAACCTACTCTTTGGAACCCAGAGGGCGGCTCAGTGGGTTGCTGGGAACATGCAGCTATGTGAGCAATCCCAATGTGTTTGGAAAGGTACGGGGCAAAGCTTTCCTGTTTATTCTTCTTCCCTACTCTCCTCTCTCCCTCCCTCCGTCATCTCTCCATTATCATAAAAATATATTTTATATGATTATTGGACTAAATAAATGTAAATATAAAAATTGAATAATCCTCGCCATTTTCTACCTTAACCACTCTACCCCCAATCCCATTTTTCTAGCACCAACCACTTTTAGTTCTTCCAGCTGGTCTTTATCGCTGCTTTCCAAATAATATTGTTAAACTGTTATATCTTGCAATTTCATACTGTATCCTGACTTTCCAGTGTGGTTAATCAGGAGGTAGCCTTCCTCCTGCCTCATTCAGTTTCTCGACATGTGTTTAGCACACTTTGAGAAGGCAAAATGAGGGGCTGGTGCTGCGGCACAGTGGTTCTTCTGCGGCTTGTGCTGCTGGCACCCCTTATCGGAGCTCTGATTCCAGTCCTGGTGCTCCACTTTCAGTCCGGCTCCCTGACGGCAGTGGAGGATGGTACACAGAGACCCAGGTGGAGTTCTGAATTTCTGGCTCTGGCCTGGAGCAGCCTTGGCAGTTGTGACCATTTTGGGTAGTGAACTAGTGTTTAGAAGATCTCTCTGTCTCCCTTTCTCTCTACTACTCTGCCTGCAAAATAAATAAATAAATAACAAATAAATAAATTAATTAAAAAAAGAAAAAGCAAAACAAGCAATGTTTACACCATATTATTATACAACTAATATTCATTATTAAGTCAAGTAACATGATCTAATTATTCTTCTTTTCTAGTATAACCCTTTTTAAAAAAAAAAAGATTTATTTATTTGAAAGGCAGAGTTACAGAGAGGCAGAGGCAGAGAGAGAGAGAGGGAGAGAAAGAAACACAGAGAGAGAGAGAGAGGGAGAGAGAGAAAGTCTCTGGATGCTTCTATAAAAGTCCCTTATCCACAGTGTTCTAAAATGTAAAATGTCATGATAAAGCTTGACAAAAATTTTTTCTGACTTATTGCAAATGGAAAGCCCACTGGTGGACCTGTTCAGTCTCGGAGACTTATATCTGGTCGTTCTTGGAAATTTTCTTGAACCATCCTTTCGTAATTCCTTTATCTTTCTTCTCTTCTAAAACTATTGTATATTGGATTGTTTCTCCAATTTTGTTATCTTTTTTGCTGTGTTTTTTCCCTACCTCCTGGGCAATTATTTCAACTCTGTCCGCAGACTTTTAATTAAACTTTTCATCATAGTTTTAATTTTTCTTTCATTTTAGGGAGAGGGAGTAACCTTATGTGGCATTCTTCTGACTTGATTCTCAAATCTGTTATATCTGCTTTGCATAGGTGGCTTTGGTGGCAGCCCTGAGGAAAGATTTGAAGGAGGAGAGAGGCTCACTAAGAGTGCTGTGAGCTATTCTATGCAGGGCTCAGAGAACTTAAAGTGTGAAACAGACCCCAGGAAGCCCATCAGCTGGTCTGTCTCTAGCAGGTCACGGGGACAGGGTTTATCCTGGTGCTGTGGGGACAGCTCCTGGGCCTGTCAGATATACATATTTTGCTCTGGGTGGGTGGGAGACCTTGCATGGCGGTGTCGTGAGTCCATCGGAGCAGCTCTGCTTCATGCAGTGGGGAGATGATGATCATGAATAACACAAAGACTTCCAAAATGGAAAGAAAATATAGGAAGGAGAACACGTGGAGCTCAGGGTAAAAGTATTTGGGGAATTCTAACTGCAACAAGGACTAAGAGCCTTCTGGAAACCACCATGGGCAATCATCTCTATGGGTCGTGTTACTCTTTTAGCATGTCTTTTTCAGAGTGGAAGTTTTTTTTTTTTTTTTTAAAGATTTATTTATTTATTTGAAAGAGTTGCACAGAGAGTTACACACACACACACACACACACACACACAGAGAGAGAGAGAGAGAGAGAGGTCTTTCATCCACTGGTTCACTCTCCAGTTGGCTGCAACATCCAGAGCTGTGCATATCTGAAGCCAGGAGCCAGGAGCTTCTTCCAGGTCTCCCACACAGGTGCAGGGGCCCAAGGCCTTGGGCCATCTTCTACTGCTTTTCCAGGGCATAGCAGAGAGCTGGATCAGAAGTAGAGCATCCGGGACTCGAACCAACGCACATATGAGATGCTGGCACTACAGGCAGAGGCTTTACCCACTACGCCACAGCTCTGGCCTCCAGAGTGGAAGTTTTTAATTTTAACGAAGTCCAGCTTATCCATTCTTTCATGGACTATAGCTTTAGTGTTGTATCTATAATGCCACAGCCAAGTCAAGATGGTCTAAATTTCTTCCTAGGTTACTTTCTAGGAGTTTTTTTAATTTTATGTTTTCTCTTCCGGAATGGGGAACCTTTTTTTTTCCCCCCAGGGACCATTGGATATTTATAACATCACTCATTGGCAACACAAAATTATCAACTTAAAAATTAGCCTACTATATATTTATTGAGTTTTGAGTCCCACCTGTGGTTGCCTTGGCAGGGCAAGACCAAATTATTTCTCAGGCCTCAGATGGCCCATGGGCCAGCCATTCCCCATCCCTAGGAGTTTAGATCTATGGTCCATTATGAGTTAATTTTTGTGACAGGTGTAAGCTCTGTGGGTTCTTTTTTTTGCTCGTGGCTATCCAGTTGTTCTAGCATAATTTGTTGAAAAGACTGTTGTTTCCCCATTGTATTGCTTTCACTTGTTTGCCAAAGATCAGTTGACTATATTTATATTGATCTATTTTTAGATTCTCTTCTGGTCCCTTGATCTTTATTTGTTTGTTCTTTAACAACTATTACATTGTCTTTTTATTTTTAAAATATTTATTTTTTATTTATTTGAAAGAGTTACAGATAGAGTCAGGCAAACACACAAACAGACACACACACACACACACACACACAGAGAGAGAGAGAGAGAGAGAGAGAGATCTTCCATCCACTGGTTCACTCCTCAGATAGTGGCAACGACCAGAGCTGAGCTGATTCACAATGGAGCTGAGCTGATCTGAAGCCAGGAGCCAGGAGCTTCTTTTGGGTCTCCCATGTGGGTCCAGGAGCCCAAGGACTTGGGCCATCTTCTACTACTTTCCCAGGCCATAGCAGAGAGCTGGATTGGAAGTGGAGCAGCTGGGACATGAACCGACACCCATATGGGATGCTGGCACTTCAGGCCAGGGCTTTATCCCACTGCACCATAGTGCCAACCCCAAACACTCTCTTGATTACTGTAGCTTTATAGTGAGTCTTAAAGTTGGATAGTACCAGTCCTTTTACTTTGTTCTCCTTCAATATTGTGTTAGCTAACTATTCAAGGTTTTTTGCATCTCCAATAAACTTTAGAATGAGTTTGTCAACATCCAAAAAATAATTTGCTAAAATTTTGATTGAGATTACACTGAATCTATGGACCACCATTTTAATAATATTGAATTTCATCTTTCTATATCATATAGGTCTCTACTTAGAACTTCTTTGATTTCTTTCATCAGTTTTTTAAGTTTTTCTCACATAGATCTTCTACATATTTAGTGAGATTTAAACCTAAGTATTTAGTTTTGGGCAGTGGGAATGTAAATGACATTGTTGATGTTATTTCAGATTTCAATTCTTCATTGCTGATAAACAAGGAATCAATTGAGTTTAATACATTAACTGAGTATCCTGAAACCTTACCATAATCACTCCCTGGTTTTTGGAGTTTTTTGGTTGATTCTTTGGATATTGATTTTGTTTTTAACTTTTAGTGATTCTTTATTAGTAGACTTGACTATTTCTAATAACCTTGTAGTTCTGCCCACGACTGTGGGTTTTCATAGCCAGCACTGAAGCAGGAATTTGTGAGTAACAGTTTGGTTTCTTTGGTTTGTGAAGCTCTCATACTTTTATCAGAAGACATTCTGATCATAGACACCCCAGGTCAGTTGGGTGGTTCTGGTTCCTGTTAATTTCGTTATTCTCATTTTGATCACAAGCCAGATGGTTGGAGATGAAAAGACAGTGGTCTGTGGTTTGGACTTAGTGGGGTCTTTTGATGAGAACTTGAAACGGAGCAAACGATATAACCCTGACCTCAGATAGTAATAGATAAAATTAGCACTCAAGTGCTCTGCTATAGAAATAGCGAGGGAAGGAGCTAAAAGCAATGAATCAACAAATATTTATTGGCAGACACCAGAGTAGGGCTTAGGTCTCCCGGGTGAGTGTTGGTGTGATCAACATACAGATGTGCAAAATTCACTGTGATTTTGAAATATCAAGTACAGAACAAATACTTTAAGCATGATGCGATAGCTCTGGGTGCTCCCTGTCAGATCTGTTATTTACGTGTAGTTCTGGTATTCATGTGCTTTTTATGAGAAAGTGCCATTGATGAACTCTTAAATATTCTTGTGCAAGCTAGTACTGAGGTCCTCTTTATTTCCTTTCTTCCCTGCTCTTTGTACTCAGTTTTATCACAATGAGCACGTTCTTTTTCACTTAATTAATCGTTTTTTACTTAGCGTTCTCCATATCTGCAAGGATGAATATCGCATTTTTGAGAAGTGTGTTTTTGCAGGCTGCAGAGGTGGAGTCAGAAATGAATCTTTCGATCTGGAAAGGTTTGGTGATGCAAACTATTCCATGCTCCAACCAGAGAAGAAGATCCATCTTACTGGTCTTCGCAATGACTACTGTAAGTTATCGTCCAGACTGTAACTTGGAAAGCTGAGGTGCCAAAACGTATGATGCTCTGGTATGAACTTGCAATTTGATTCTGGACAAAAGGACCAGGGAGGAGATTGCATGTAGGAGTATTCTGAACCTTTGGAGGAAGATAGGGCGGTGTCACTAAAGACAGGTTGGCAGAGCAGGGGCGGCGGCAGGAGGGAGGACTGTCCTTGGCCGCAGTGAGACATGGAAAAGATGTGGCAGACCGCTGGACAGGACGTTGGCAGTTGCAGCGGAGGGTGGACCAGGGTGTAGGTCGGGTGACTTTGGTCGAAGCCAAAGGCCAGTGTGAGCCTCTGAGAGAGACAGGAAGGGGCCAAGGAAAGGGTTCTGGGTTGTGTTGAAGATCTGCAGAGAGGAACGAGCAGTGAGAAGCAAAGCCACACACGGGAGTTCTCAGCCCTTCTGCTCCTTAGATCCCTCCCCAAGGGAATTTGCAGTCCTGAACAGCTGGGGAGGAGACATTTTTAAGAAATATAAAGAAAAACAATGCTCGTATTAAAAGAAAAATTACTTTTGTTCCCTTCAAGCCCTAGCCCTTTTCTCTTCTCCCCTCAACAGCAAAACTTAGCCAGAGTTTTTTATACTTAAAACTTCACATTTCTGTCCCCACGTGGCCTTGAACCTATTGTAGCCAGGCTTTAAATCCCAGCATTCCATTGCAAAGGCTTTTCTAAACATCAAAGAACTTCTCATTGTTAATTCCAGTGTTGTTTCTCAGACCTCATTTACTTTTTTATTTGAAAGACAGAGTTAGAGAGAGAGAGAGAGAAGAGAGAGAGAGAGAGAGAGAGAATCTTCCATTCAGTGGTTCATTCCCCAAATGGCTGCAATGGCTGGAGCTGGGCCAGGCCAAAGCCAAAAGCTAGGAACTTCTTCTGGGTCTCCCAGGTGGGTGCAGAGGCCCAAGCACTTGGGTCATCTTCTGCTGCTTTTCCAGGTGCAGTAGCAGAGAACAGCTGGGACTTGAACTGGCACCCAACTGAGATGCCAGGGTTGTTGTGGGAAGCAGTTTAATTCATTAGGCCACAGTGCTGGCCTCTCAGATCTCATTTTCTTAACTCTGTCATCCACATCTGAGAGAGTTGATCAATCCCTTGTCTTTGGTATTCTACTCTCTTGGGTTGCTTCCTAGTTTTAACTTTATTTTTTTTAATTGAGAGACAGGAGAACTTAGATAAAGACAGAGAGGGACAAGGACAGGGTGAGCCCTCCACTGGTTCACTCTCCAAATGCCCACAATGGCAAAGGCTGGGCTGGGGCTAAAGCCAGGAGCCACGAACAATGCAGGTCTCCAACATGGGTACCAAGAACTCAGTTATGTGTGTCATCACTGCTGCCTCTCAGAGTCTGCATCAGCAGGAAGTTGGTATCAGGAGCCAGAGTTAGGACATGAATCTGGATACCCTGTTATGGGATGCAGGCAACTTAACCACTCTGTTAAACACTGGCTCTACCCTCCTAGTTTTATGTTCAATCGTTGTTCTTTTTTTGCTGATTCCTCTTGCTCTTCTCTTCCATCTTGCTGCACTCAAAATGTTAAAGAGCTCAAAGCTCATTCCTTAGGTATCTTTTCTGCTTCTAGTCCATTTTAATAATTTTTTGACTTTTTGGATATATCTCTTTGTATTGCGTTTTTGGTTGTTACTTCTTGCAACAGGTTTTATGTAACTTCTTGCAATTACATAGGTCTCCCCAAATGTTTTTCGGATCTTAAGGTTGTCATATGTTTTATATCTATATTCAAGTTGTCTTCAAAAAGATTATGGAAAATGAGTGTTATGAAAAATCCTATGCATAGATTTCAAAATTTTTTTTGCAATGAGGCTGGTGTTAAGGCATAGCAGTCAAGGCCACCACCTGTGATGCTGGTATCTCATAGGGGCACTGGTTCATGTCCTGGCTACTCTGCTTCCAATCCAGCTCCTTACTAATGGCCTGGGAAAGCAGCAGAAGATAGCCCAAGTGTTTGGGCACTTCCATCCCTGTGGGAGATCCAGATAAAGCTCCTGTCTCTTGGCTTTGGCCTGGCCCAGCACTGACTGTTGCAGCCATCTGGGGAATGTACTAATGGATAGACATGCATGCTCTCTCTCTCTCTCTCTCTGTAATTCTGACTTTTTTTTTAAACTTTTATTTAATAAATATAAATTTCAAAAGTACAGCTTTTGGATTACAGTGGCTCCCCCCCAATAACCTCCCTCCCACCTGCAACCCTCCCCTCTCCCATTCCCTCTCCCATTCCATTCACATCAAGATTCATTTTCAATTATTTTTATACACAGAAGATCAACTCAGTATATACTAAGTAAAGATATCAACAGTTTGCACCCACACAGAAACACAAAGTATAAAGTACTGTTTGAGTACTAGTTATAGCATTAATTCACATTGTACAACACATTAAGGACAGAGATCCTACATGGGGAGTAAGTGCACAGTGACTCCTGTTGTTGACTTAATAATTTGACACTCTTGTTTATGGTGTCAATAATCACCCTAGGCTCTTGTCATGAGTTGCCAAGGCTATGGAAGCCTTTTGAGTTCGCCGACTCTGATCTTATTCCGACAGGGTCATAGTCAAAGTGGAAGTTCTCTCCTCCCTTCAGAGAAAGGTACCTCCTTCTTTGATGGCCCGTTCTTTCCACTGGGATCTCATTCGCGGAGATCTTTCATTTAGGTCTTTTTGTTTGTTTGTTTTTGCCAGTGTAATTCTGACTTTCAAATAAATAAATATATCTTAAAAATTATTTTGTGACTACTCTTTGAATTAACACCTCACAGAATCTTTTGTCAATTTAAAACTATTCTGAAATAAAATGTCAAAAATTTTTTGCACCAAAGTAAACATCTTTTAATTCCATTCTCCATAAACTGTTTGAAGTACCATTATGCATTGAAAACTCCACCAGTGTTATATATTTTATTTAGAAAAAATTAAAATTCAAAAAGCATGTTAAATTGCTTAAGATGGAAAAATAATGGTTCTTTATAGTAAACCGAATATTTGCCAGTTCCAGTGTTTTTCTTCATTCCTGAAGATCCACGTTTCCCTCTCACACAATTTCCCTTGGGCCTGAAGGGCCTCAGCTGGCATTTCTTGCACATCAGATCTATTGGTAAAGACTCTTTTAGGTTTTTCATCTTCCATTTCACAATATTTTTGCTGGATGTAGAATTCCGAGTTGGAAGATTTTACTTTCAGCTGTTAAAGATGTTGTTTTATTGACTTCTGGTCTCCATGGTTTCTGGTGAGAACTCCATGGTCATTTGAGACCTTGTTCTGCTGCTTCTGAGGCTGGGCTCCGATGACACACATGGATATGGTAGATCTTTGGATATTATTCCACAAGTCCTTGAGGCTCCATTCATTTTTCCCCCCATTTTTTCCCTCCATGCTCTTCAGATTGAATATTTTCTGTTAATCTCTATTCAGGTTCACTGACTGTTTCCTCTCTCATTTTCATTTTGCTATTGAGCTCATTCAAAGAATTTTTCAGTTTTCAGTTTTAAAATGCCCTGTTTAGGGGTAGGTGTTTGCCCCAGTGTTTAAGACGCCCACTGAGATGCCACCTTCCGGTGTGAGTGCCTGGGTCAGAGTCCCAGCTCTGCACCTGATTGCAGGTTCCTGCTAATGTGCACCCTGCACTCCTGCCACACACATAGGAGACCCGGGCTGAGTTCCAGGACCCCGGCTTTGTCCTGGCCCAGTCACAGCCATTCGTTGTATTTGGGGAGTGAATCAACATGGGAGCTACCTGTCTGTCTCTTCTTACCTCTCAAATAAATACATACACATTTAAAATTTCCCTCTTATTTTCTTAGCTTTTATTTATATTTTGGAGTTTTGCTTCATAGTTTCTGTTTTGCTTATACAGAAAGCAGCTTTTATTTTTCTATATCTCCATCTGGGCCTCTCATGTGAGTAGCAAGGGCCTAAGCATTCAGGCCATCTCCTACTGCTTTCCCAGACACATTAGCAGGGAGCTGGGTTGGAAGTGGAGCAGCCAGGACTTAAACTGGTGCCCATATGGGATGCTGGTGTTTCAGCCAACAACTAAACCTGATATGCCATACTACCAACCTTCTATTTTTCTATTTTTCTAAGGAGGTTCCCTATGTTTTTATTCAACTGTTTTCTTATCTTACAGAGACAATAATAGCTGTTGTAATGTCTTTGTCTGATATTTCCTATAACTTAGGTCACCTTGAGGTTTTTATCTATCAATTATATTTTTCCTTTGTATAAACAAGGCTTTGAATTGTGTTCTGAACATTATAGATGTTATACTGTATTCACTCTGGGTCCTGTGGAAAATACTAATGTTTTTATCTCAGTTAGGGCCACACTTGAAGTTTGTCTTATACCTTTGGGTGGGTCTTCAAATTTCAGATCAGTTATTTAAGCCTTGACTATACTGGTTTGGGTCTGTCCATCATATATGTGGGTCTGAGTCAAGACTGAGATTGGAATGGTATACTTATCCGCTTTTTGTTAATACAACTAAACCCCTAAGACAGGCTACTTATGAAGGAAGAAGGCTTATTTTGGCTCACACTTTTAGAGGTTTGCAGCCCAAGATTGGAGGGGCCCCATTGGTTTGACTGTATCAAACACTGGTTTGACTGGGGAATGATAATGGCAGAATGTGTATGAGGATTGATTTCATGGAGATCCAGAAAGCAGAGAGAGAATGGTTGGGCCAATGAAGGCTTATATAACCAACCCTCTCAGGAGAACTGCCTTCTAATGGCATGCCCCCAGTGACCTAAGGATCTACTAGTGGGCCAACTTTCTAGACACCATAATTGGATCAAGCCTCCTGTAGTACCATAAAGCAATGGCTTTGGGGTTTAAGCATCTTCATGAGTTCATACTACAGCATATGGATATTTCAAACTTCCCTTCAGTTCTCAAAGCCTTTGCCAAGCTAATCTGCAACTCCTCAGCACTGACATGATGTAGGGGTTAGTTATTATGCTTACAAGCAGAGGATCCCTTTCTCTGGCTCTTTGCCATCCAGGACTTGCCCTTATACTCAGGCCACCTCAGGCTCCTTTCTCTGGATCCTCTGACCAGAAAGATGGAGTCTCTCTGTCAAAACTCGGCTGCAGGTGCTACTCCCTGTCTGGAACCTGCACTCTGGGAAAAGCTGTGTGAGGAGGAAGATGGAAACTCACCCTTGGGCAGGTTTTTCTCCATATTTTGGCTCCATTACTTAGCTTGACTGCTTTTTCTTACTTTTTGGGATCCTCACGTATTTGTTTTTTATGTTTTGTCCAGAGGTTATAGCTCTTATTAGTGAGGGAGATGCATTATGGAGGGGCTTAAGCCACTATAGTGGAACTAATGCATTTCACCATTTTGTACTGGTATGTGTCAGTCAGGATAGGAGTCTCTGTCTGATGAGAAATAACATGGGGTATATTTTAAAAGTGGTCATATATGAATACAGTTTCTCAGTTGATGAGTTTTTATTAATATAACTTAGAGAATGATGCTGAGATCTTCTAGGTACCATGAATGAGCTATTGCCTCCTCTAGATAGTCTCCCCTTGGGTGGTGCTTTTGATTAGAAATGATGGTGGCACATCTCATTTAGATGACTTAATCCAAGCATGTCTTCATAAGAATTACGTGTTTTTAATGTTTAGTGAGCTGTTAGATGAAGTCCATGTCTACTAATTATGGTGGTTGGATCTAGTAGGTTCTTTAAATACCCTAAATTACTATATATAAGCAAAATCCAAATTTGTTTATTTGAACAAAACTCATATATCCTGTGAGTCTTGGTAACAGACTATTTCAGTTTTCATTTTTGAACTCCTAGTGATCTGCTTGGCTCCCAGGATTCAGCTTTCCCACCAACAATGGGGAAGATGCTAATCTTACTCTCCAACTATAAAGATGTTTATTTCAAAGTATTTTTATTTGGTTTCACAGTCACCCTAAGTTGAAGTACTTTTCTTATAGATCTGAATATCCTGGACTGGAATTTTCAAAATCTTGTTGCTATAGCCCTTGGATCTGCTGTATATATTTGGAATGGAGAGAACCACAGTGGGATTGAAAACATAGACTTAAGTCTCACTTGTAACTATATATCTTCTGTGTCCTGGATCAAAGAGGGAACCTGCCTGGCAGTTGCCACCAGTGAAGGAGAAGTGCAAGTACTTGACCATGTTTTTCCTCATTGTGTTCTCTGTATAATTACTAGATAATTAAAACTGACTTTTTAAAAAATATTCATTTATTTGAAAGGCAGAGTGACAAAGTGAGAGAGAGAGAGAGAGAGAGAGAGAAATCTCACATCCACTCATCCACTGGTTCATTTTCTTTCTTTTTCTTTTTTAAAGATTTTGTTTTTATTTATTTGGGAGGTAGAATTATAGTCAGAGAGAAGGAGAGACAGAAAGAAAGGTTTTCTATCTGCTGGTTCACTACCCATATGGCACAATGGCTGGAGCTGAGCTGATCTGAAGCCAGGAGCCAGGAACCAGGAGCCAGGAGCTTCTTCCTGGTCTCACATGTAGGTGCAGGGGCCCAAGCACTTGGGCCATCTTCTACTGCTTTCCCAGGCCATAGCAGAGAGCTGGACAGGAAGAGGTGCAGCCAGGATGTGAACTGGCACCCATATGGGATACTGGCAAAGCAGGCAGAATCTTAGCCTACTGTGCCACAGTGCTAGCCCCAATTGGTTCAGTTTCTAAATGCCTGTAACAGCTAGAGCTGGGCCAGACTGGAGCCAGGAGCCCCAGCCAGGTTTCCCATTTGGGTGTCAGGAACCCAAGTACTTTGGTCATGATGCACTGCCTCCCAGGCACATTAGCAGGAAGCTATTTCACAAGTGCAAACTAGACAGGCCTTGAACCAGCACTCCTGTATGGGATGTAAGTGTCTTAAACGATGGCTTAATGCTGTGTGCCACAGCATCTTCTTCTAAAATTGACTTTTAACAACAGGTTAATATAGAATAGAAGAACCAGATGAGGCACTTGGAGCTGTGGGGAGTGAGAGGTGATACCATTCTGTGTTTTCTGAATGGCATCTAGTGAGGACCTCAGGATACCCTACAAAGTCCGTAGGAAATGAAATTTACAGATAAGTTTGTATTGGCACAAAATTGTTTGAAATTCATGGGTAGTGTTTCATAATATGTATTTTCTGCAAACTTTTTGAAAACTCCTTGTACTTAGTTTTCCCACACAATCTTTCTTTCTGTCACATTTCACTTGTATTTTCAAATAAGTATTTTCTGAAGCTAAACCTGGGCTTGTAGGCGCCCCAGTTGTGGAGAGAGGAAGTTCCTTTTCCTTTTCCAATTCTCCTTTCTCTCCTGAAACAGTGATCAGGAGTAGGATTACATAAAATGAGTACTTTTTGTTTTTCCTAAATAGGCTCCATGAAATGAACATTTATCAAGCTCCCATCAGTCTAATTTCATTATTTATTAGCGTCAGCTACTAATGTGTTGGATCATTTAAGAGGACCAATATGGCTCTCACACATTTCTTAACTTTGCAATGATATTGCTTATGTTACGATTTCTTCTTAGACCAAAGTTACCATTTATTTTTGACGGATTGGAAGAAGCCTGTTAGCACTAATTGGAATGTCTGACTCTCGGAAGTGTCCAGGCACCATGTTGTGTTAGTACATTTATTGGTAACTGTAGTTTGGAACTTCCACAATTTATAGGGAGCTAGAAGTGTGACAATGATTCTCAGCCACTGGCTGCACATTGAGTTTGCCTGGGGAGCTTTGAAATAAATGCCACATCCCCAGGCTCTACTCTACCCATTAAATCAGAATCACTAACATCCACAGAGTTTTTTTTTTTAAATCAAGACCTGATTAGAGGTTGGGATTTTTTTTAAAAGATTTATTTATTTATTTCAAAGGCAGAGTTAGAGAGAGAGAGAGAGGGAGAGAGAGAGAGGAAGTCTTCCATCCACTGATTGACTCTCTAAATGGCTGCAATGGCAGAGCTGGGCCAATCTGAAGCTAGGAGCCAGGAGCTTCTTCCAGGTCTCCCACGTGGCTACAGGGGCCCAAGGACTTGGGCCGTCTACCACGGCTTTCCTAGGCCAAAGCAGAGAGCTGGATTGGAAGGGGAGCAGCCAGGCCTCATGGGATGCTGGCACTGCATGCGGTGGCTTTACCCGTTATGCTATAGCGCCGGTTCCACGTCCACAGTTTTACGAATTCCCCAGGTGATCCTAATTTGGAGTCAGAGTTGAGGTCTGCTAGCTAGAGCTAAAGGTTCTGAGTTTTCACTTAGGGGCAATCATGTATCTGGCCTTTGAGAAGAGAGTGGGCTGTGAAAATGTCAATGCCACAAAACTCTGCTTGTTCTTTTTTTTTTTTTTTTTTTTCTCCAGTTGTGGGATGTGGTAACTAAAAAGCGGCTGAGAACCATGCTTGGTCATTTATCAGTAGTCGGGGCTCTGAGCTGGAACCATTGTATCCTCAGCAGGTAAGAAGCTTCTTACTGGAACCAATTATGTTTGTGTCACCACCTGACTGTGGGTGCTGAGTGAACAGAATGTAGTATTTACAACCAAAACTGAAATGACACAAAACAGGACCTCAGACTTCGCATGGTCACGGCCCTGCCCTCTGAGGCCTGAGCTCTGCTCTAGGTGTGAGTGTTGTCCTGACCACACATCCCACAGTGGCTATTGTGCTCTCAGATAAAAGGTGAGACTCCCTTTAGGCAAAACTTTTCTCTCTGTCGAGTAATACCTGCTAAAATATTTGTTGCTGAAATCAAGTACTTATTGCTAAAAGTATCAATTCTATCAAATATGTTAAGATTTGTGGGGCGTGTTTCTGATTCACAGATCCACTGGAAGGAGTTTCATGCATTGCTCTATTCAATGGCTCTCAAACTTGAGCAGGCAGAAAAACCACCTGGAGGGCTCCTTAAAACACAGGTTGCAGGCCTCCCTCCAGGAATTTCTGATTCATTATTTCTTATGGGGGCTGATAGTTTGCATTTCTAGTGTCCTGAGTGACACTGATGATTCATCTTTTTTTTTTTTGGACAGGCAGAGTTAGTGAGAGAGAGAGAGACAGATGCATTTGGTGCATCCCCAAATGGCCGCTACGGCCAACTCACTGCGCCGATCCGAAGCCGGGAGCCAGGTGCTTCTCCTCGTCTCCCATGCGGGTGCAGGGGCCCAAGCACCTGGGCCATCCTCCACTGCCTTCCCGGGCCACAGCAGAGAGCTGGACTGGAAGAGGAACAACTGGGACAGAATCTGGCACCCCAACTGGGACTAGAACCCAGTGTGCCGGCGCCGCAGGTGGAGGATTAGCCTAGTGAGCCACGGCGCTGGTCTGATTCATCATTTTGAGAATTACTGATTTAGTTCAAGGACTTCTATTTAACCAGAAAAGGTGCCGTGTTCCTGTGATCCAACACAATTGGCCCGAATATGTATTGTTTTTAAGAACAGCCATTCATCCTTGTACCATACTTCTTAGTGTAGATTTAAGTTAGGTACATTCCAAAGTCTTACACAATTTGTTCAAGTAGCTCAGATGTAAATTTGAGATTGTACTACTTTGTAGTTGTAGGCCTAACTAAAAGCCATATAGTTTTTGTAGTTGGTTCTGTACTTTTCCATCTCTCACATGCGTGCAGGGGACCAAGTACTTGGGCCATCTTCTATTGCTTTCTCAGGCCTTAGCAGAGAATGGGATCAGATGTGGAGCATGCAGGACTTGAACTGGTGCCCATATGGGATGCTGGTGCTGCAGACCAGGGCTTCAACTTGCCGTGCCACAGAAAGTTCTTATAATGATAACAGGGGCCATTTCTGGACTACTGTGTGGCAGGCACTGTGCTGTACTCTTCCTGTGAGCACTCCCTGTAGTGATGCTATGTGATGGTTTCTTGTCTCCTGTTAGTTCTTCCAGATGAGTAGCCTGAGACACTAGACGGAACTCCCAGGGTTACCAAGGGACAGAGTCAGGATTTGAACCCAGATGATCTGACTCCAGAGCCCCTATTGTTAATCAGATTGCTGTTCATTGTTGTGCTTGAATAGTTTAAAAAAATAATACACTGGGCTTGAAAAATTTTTTTCTTTCTTTTTTTAAAAAAACATTTATTTTTATTTATTTGAAAGAGTTACAGAGAGAGGTAGAGCCAGAGAAAGGGGAAGGTCTTCCATCTGCTGGTTCACTCCCCAAATGACCACAATGGTCAGAGCTGAGCTGATCCAAAGCCAGGAGCCAGGAGCTTCTTCATGGTCTCCCACACAGGTGCAGGGGCCCAAGGACTTGGGCCATTTTCTACTGCTTTCCCAGGCCACAGCAGAGAGCTGGATAACAAGTGGGGCAGCTGGCATCCTTATGGGATGCTGGCACTGTAGGCCAGGGCCTTAACCCACTCCTCAACAGCAATGGCCCCTGAGAAATTTCATAAATAATTATAGCAAGTTGTTTACTTGTTCCTTGGAGAAAATTAGTCTAGAAAGGGTTCTTTATCTTTGAAATAATGATATAATTTTTGTCATTGTTTCGATCACAGCCATTGAAAGTTGATAGAAGCTTTACCCTCTAATTTAGTGTCATACTGCAGTTTGCTGTGAGATTTGGTTAGTATTAAACTCCTCTTACATATCAGTAATGTAAGCAAAACTGAGAGTAGATCTGTAGATTAATAGGAATATACCAGTTAAATAAAGGAAATAGTGGATTTTTCAAAAAGATTTATTTATTTATATTTAAAGATTTATTCATTTGAAAGGCAGAGGCAGTGGCCAAAAGAGAGAGAGAGAGAAAGAGAGAGAGAGGACTTCATCCACTGGTTCACTCCCCAGATGGTTGCAATGGCTGGAGCTGCGCCGAGCCAAAGCCAGGAGACAGGAGCTTCTTCTGGGTCTCCCACAAGGGTGTAGGGCCCAAGGACTTGGGCCATCTTCTGCTGTTTCCTCAGGGCATAGCAGAGAGCTGGATTGGAAGTGGAATACCTGGAACTTGAACCGGTGTCCATATGGGATGCTAGCACTACAGGTGGCAACTTTACCCGCTACACCATAGCGCTGGCCCCTATTTATTTACTTTGAAAGTTGAGTTAGACAGAGAGAGAGAGAGAGAGAGAGAGAGAGAGAGACAGAGAAATTTTCTATTAGCTGGGTCACTCCCTAGATGGCTACAACAGCCAGGGTTGGCCCATGCTGTAGCCAGGAGCCACGAGCTTCTTCTTGATCTCCCATGTTAAGTGCAGGAACCTAAACACTTGGGTCATCTTCTCCTGCTTTTTCCTTGCCATTATCAGGTAGTTAGATCAGAAGTGGGGCAATATGGAGACAAACCAATGCCCATATGGTATGCTGGCATTGCAGGAGGTGGCTTTACCCACTGTACCACAATGCCAGACTAAAAATAATGGATTTTTAAGTCTATCATTTTACTATAAATATATACTAAAGCCGGCGCTGCGGCTCAACTAGGCTAATCCTCCGCCTTGCGGCACCGGCACACCAGGTTCTAGTCCTGGTCGGGGCGCCGGATTCTGTCCCGGTTGCCCCTCTTCCAGGCCAGCTCTCTGCTGTGGCCCGGGAGTGCAGTGGAGGATGGCCCAAGTCCTTGGGCCCTGCACCCCATGGGAGACCAGGATAAGCACCTGGCTCCTGCCATCGGAACAGCACAGTGCACCAGCCGCAGCGTGCTGGCTGCGGCGGCCATTGGAGGGTGAACCAACGGCAAAAAGGAAGACCTTTCTCTCTGTCTCTCTCTCTCACTGTCCACTCTGCCTGTCAAAAAAAAAAATAAATAAATAAATAAAAAATTAAAAAAATACTAAAACAATCTAATTGAGATAATATGAAATATCCCGAGTTCCGAAGAAGTAATATTTCATAGGTACAATATGAAAACTACTGTGAAAGTCTGGTTATCATCTAAATTTAACTTCATGGTTTCCTACACCATATTAAAACCATCAGAAACATCTCTTAAAGGATGTTTTTTCAATTCCAGATTTGAAACTCAGGCTCACAAATCCATTTCACTTGGGAAAAGAATTGTCCAGGCACAGTACTTCATCCATATTAAGCCAATGAATTGCCTTCTGTGTTCTGAATCTCTCCTAAAGGGCCTTGCAGTAGTTCTACTTTGAACAGTGCTTTTATCCATGTTTTCAAATGTTTCTGTAGAGAAAGGGCTTGATCTCTCTGACACATAAACCTGCCTCATCTCTGCCCCCTGCACAGTGGGTCAAGACTGGGCCGTGTTTATCATCATGATGTCCGGGTAGCCCAGCATCGTGTTGGGACACTTGGCCACAAGCAGGCTGTGTGTGCTCTGAAGTGGTCACCGGATGGCAGACTGCTCTCCAGTGGCTGCAGTGATGGGCTGCTGACAATATGGCCCCACGATCCTGGTGCCGGTGCACAGGCCCAGCCACTGAAAGTCATACCTCAGTCCACAGCTGTCAAGGTAAGGAATCCAAGTGCTCTCTGAAGTTCCCATTTACTCAGAGACCACCAGGTAACCCTTCACGTATGAAAAGAAAACCTTAAGCCAATATTTTGATATTTTTTCAAGCTCTCCTGAAAGACAACCCTACTTTCATTTCCCCACATGTCAGATGTTTTGGTTGTAGGTAACTAAAACCAAAGTCAAGCTTGAGCTTAAGCAAAGAAAAAAAAAGTATATTTTCTCATATTATGTGGAGTCTTAGGAATATATACTTCTTTCAAATATTTGTTGGATCTAGGGCCTGGAGTATGCCGTCTGAGCCCTGCCTTTTCAGGCCTGGGTTCTGCTGGTCTTTGGTTAGTTTCATTTTCCTGCAGACAGAGTTGTGGGCACTGTGGCTCTCAGCAGCCTCAGCTTCAGATTCTTCTAGATGTGTGCTGGATAAGGGGCCACCTTTCCTTGTGACTTTGGTGGAAAAGCACTAGAGAGGATGCTGCTCTGTCTTTGGTTGTATTCTTCTCTCTCAATTAATTGCATCCAGAGAGCTGGGCACACTGATGGGCCTGGGTCATGAGCTCACACCCAAGAAAAGAGATCCCTCTCTGGAAGAAGGAGGAGGTGCCTTAGAACTAACCTGATGCTCCCCCATGCTCTGCTTAAGATTTCTTTTTTCTATATTTGCAATTCCTTTTTTTTTAAAAAATTATATATTTATTTGAAAGAGTTAGAGAGAGACACACACAGAGAGAAATCTTCCATCTGCTGATTCACTCCCCAAATGACTGCAATGGCTGGAGCTGGGCCAATCTGAAGCCAGGAGCCAGAAGCTTTGTCTGGGTCTCCTTTGTGGATACAGGGGCCCAAGGACTTGTGCCATCTTACATTGCTTTCCCAGGTGTATTAACAGAGAGCTAGATCAGAAGTGGAGCAGCCAGGACACAAACTGACACCCATATGGGATGCTGCTTAGTTCCAGTAAAAAAAAAAATCCAAATTTTTCATTTTGGAGACCTTAGTGTCACAAATGCATGTCTTGACCTCAACATAGTTCCAGAATATTTACCACTCATAGAGCCAAGAAATGGCTTACCTTATCAACCATAAGAAAGTTTATTAGAATGAAAAATTAAAAGTTATCATAAAGTTTCAAATACAGGTTAGAATATATAGTGACTGCTTCTACTACCTAATGCTGGCCCAACAGCTCTGGTTTGTGGTTTTTAATGTTTACAGAACATTGAGAATGATTTTAGATGCACATTCACTTATTAATGACTTAAAAGTAGAAAAAATTGACATAAATAAAATATAAAAAACAAAACAAAATAGATGAAAAAAGCCTAAGTCAAGAAAAACAAGTTAATTTTTAAGATGCCTCGCTGTAAAAAATACAGTGGATTGAACTATCTTTTTCTTTTATTTATTTGAAAGTCAGAGTTACACAGAGAGAGGAGAGACAGAGAGAGAGGTCTTCCATCCGATGGTTCACTCCCCAGTTGGCCGCAATGGCCGGAGCTGCACTGATCCGAAGCCAGGAGCTAGGAGCTTCTTCCGGGTCTCCCATGTGGGTGCAGGGGCCCAAGCACTTGGGACATCTTGTACTGCTTTCCCAGGCCATAGCAGAGAGCTGGATTGGAAGTGGAGCAGCCAGGACTAGAACCGGCACCCATATGGGATACCAGTGCTTCAGGCCAGGGTGTTAACCCGCTGCACCACAGCGCCAGCCCCGGGATTGAAGTATTAACTGAAAGTCCTCCTCACTATTCTCCAAAAACCAGAGCATGCCGAGTCTCCTGGCGGCTAAAGCCCAGGGGTTCACAGAACAGTCACTAGTGTGTGTCTCCTTATATTCACCACCAACTAATGAATTGGTATAGCAAAAGTGGACTTCAGCAATTAACATCTGTATGATTCTTCTCATGCAGTAGCTTCTAGTTTTTGCAAAAATGGCTTGTCCATAGTAAAAGCTAATTGAAAGTAGAGTATTTGATAAAATGATTATATATGTATACATACATACATACATACATACACACACACACACATCTATCATAAAACTGGGGCCCATGGAAGATCTTTTGAGCCTCCTGAAATTGAAGGCAAAACTTTGTTTCATAAAATGCCAACATCTCACATGAGGGTACCTAGGTTTGATACCCAGTTACAGCTCCTGTAACTTCCTTCTAAAGCAGACCCTGGGAATAGTGGTGATTGCTCAAGTAGTTGGACACTTGCCTCCCATGTGGGTGACCCGATTGAGTTTCTTGTTCCTGGATTAGGCCTGGTTCAACTCTGGTTGTTGCTGGCATCTGGGAAGTGGACCAGTAGGTGGTGGCATGCACACACACACAAGTACATATGTCTGCCTCTCAAATAAATGTATAAAAATAAATATGTAAATAATAAACTTTCTGTAATTGCTAGCATAACTTGAAGTAGAGTCCTATTAGATGCCTTCTCTTCTGCAAGTGACTTCTAGTTCCTGACAACTAATACCTGGAGGGTGCAGTGTTCCTGTCTTTGGAGAGTAGTCCCAGGAAAGCAGACCCCTGGGACTTCTGCTTACCTGAGTGCATTATAGTCACAAGCTGGCCTTTTCCAAGGCTGACAAGCCTATGCTATTCTTGGGAACTTTAAAGGCCATGGATTGGTGTCCCTGGCAGTCTTCTGTCCTTGCTGTTGGAGGAGGAATGAAGGATGGATGCCTACACGTTTTGGATATAAACACTGGGAAGAGCATCCAGACCCCAAGCACAAACTCACAGGTAAACAACTCTGCTGGAGTTCACCTTCATTCTTATCTTCTACAAATCTTGTGAAAATAAGTTCTGGTAGAACATAGGACCCAAGCATGCCTCTTCTTGCTTACCAAGTCCATAAGGAATTTCAGTTCCCAAGTTTCTTTTTTATAAAACCTCTTAATCTGTGAGTCCAAAGGTAATTTAATATAATTTCTTTTCTCTCTCTTCCTCTTGTTCCCATTTTCTTCTTTTCCTTCTCATCTTGTTCCTCCTTCTCCTCCTCCTTCTTCTAGTATTTGCTCCTTTCTCATCACTGCTTTGACTGTGCAACCTGTCAGTAGCCTGGGTATTCCTGGCCAGTGGTCATAGTTCACTTAAATTTGTTGGTTTGTTGTACCTAAGCTTATGCGTATACTTGGCCACTTGTTGCCCTGGGATGAACTCTCCTAGAACTACCATAATTGTCATAACACCCTCATCCTAGCTGTGCCTGGAGAAGGGGTATTAGAGAACACTGTTGCAGTGAGCGCAAGTGTATTCATAATGAACAGAAACTGCCATAATCCTATATTTTTGGCCATTATAACAGATTTGCTCCCTAGTCTGGCTACCTATGACAAAAGAGATTGCAACTGGCCAAGGTACTCCTAGCAATGATGTGACTGTGTGGACCTGTCCTAGTCTGTCCAGGTCAGGTGCGTTTTTTGGTAAGTCAAGGGGTGAGTAATGCCATGTATGTATAGCAGAGTGAGCTGTCTTTGGCAGGAACAGTTATGTATGAAAGATTTTTCTTCTTCTGGTTCTTGGATGAATCTTAATTGTCAGAGGAAAAAGTCTTCTACCCACCCCATCTCAGTACAGATGGTGCTTCTGGATTTGACTAAGATTGTTCATCACTGAGAAGTCTCCTCCTTGCATGTGTGTGTGGATGGTGCATTGATAATCTTCAGCAGTGTTTGATCTTTGGAATTAATTAGCATCATAACTCATTTCATTTTGAAGAAAACCCAGCAGTGCAGAACACAAGGAGACCCCAAAAGGGTCAGGCATTGCTGTATGTGTGGAGGGCACAATGACCAAGAGGCCTCCTCTGTGAGCATTTGGACTTTTAAGGCAGACTATTGGTCTTTCTCTGTTTAGTTCTATAAATGTCAACTGTGTCCTGCATACTTCTTGAGAGCAAGACTCTGTGATGGGGAACAGGACCCAGTCCTCTTAGGAGCAGTCTGGAGTGTTCAAGGGGCCTCAAGGGTGAGCAGGCATCTCCTACCCAGCCCTGGGAAATGGGAAGACAAAAGCAGTGCTTGAAGAGGGAGCAGGGCACGAGCATCTGGTCTCTCCCAGAACTCTGGCTGTACTCTTCTTTTTCCTCTCTCCACTCAACCTTGCCTCCTGGTCAGTCCCTCAAATTTACTTGTTCATTCTTTATTAAGCACTTTATTAAGGCACTTTTTTGGGGTGCTGGAGGTACACAGGTGAACGAGAGAACCACAACCCTTGCCCTCATGGAGCCTGAACGTTGGTAGGAGGAAATATACAGAAAACAAGTACATTGAGTGTTAGGTAGCACTTACACCACAGTTCTCTGGAGATTCTGCAAATGTTACTTGGCAACAGCAAAACAGCCTTATCAGATACACATTTTCCCTCGCATGGTCAGCCTGGCTGGGCCTTGCTCTTGTCAGCCTCGGGATGACCTTGATGTCCATCAGCAGTTACACTGTGTGGTCTGGTAAGTACGGATACAGGCAACACTTGGCCAAGCCACTCTGGTAGACACACCCAAATGTAAGGGGAGCATGAGTTGGTCTTTTCTATATTTTTAATCATAAGACATGCAGCTCCTTGCACCTTTTCAGGTAGAAAAATATTTTAGGGCTGGCGCCACGGCTCAATAGGATAATCCTCCGCCTGCGGCGCCAGCACCCCGGGTTCTAGTCCCAGTTCGGATGCCGGATTCTAGCTCTCTGCTGTGGCCTGGGAGTGCAGTGGAGGATGGCCCAAGCCCTGGGCCCTGTACCCACATGGGAGACCAGGAGAAGCACCTGGCTCCTGGCTTCGGATCAGTGCGGTGCGCCGGCCACAGCGGCCATTGGGGGGTGAACCAACAGAAAAAAGGAAGACCTTTCTCTCTGTTTCTCTCTCTCTCTCACTGTCCACTCTGCCTGTCAAAAAAAAAAAAAATAAATAAAGAAAAGAAAAATGTTTGAAACCAAAGCTTCAAACCTGGTTCTTTACACAGCCACAATTTCAGCCTATTGGTAGGGCTTCAGTTAGGTGAGGGCATGTGATAGACATGTGAATCAAATTGCTGATGTTGTAGCATTCAGTGTTTCCTGAGCACATTTGGGAGCTCTGTGGCCAGGGAGCATCCTGAGGTTCTTGTCCCGTGAACACACTGTAGGGAGCGTTGCCATGTGCTTGGGTCTGCTTAGATAGCTAATTTCCATTGTGAGTCAGGGACACTGCTCTTGAAGTACACCTTGGTGACTGAGATCTAGATCAGGGTCTTCTAAGCTGGGGATTGTGACTCACTGGATTATCAGTGCAATAGGTCAAGATCAGCTTTAAAAAAAGAAATAGAATAGTAGAGAATGAAAAAAATAGATGGTATTTTGTGAAATTTTTATGAGTTATGTAGTACATATATGTGCCTATGTGTGGGGTCACTACATAAAATATAGCTTTGACTGTGGGTTGTGATCACAAGTTTGGAAAAAGCTGTTCTAGGTGATGATCACACTTTTATCAAGTCTCATTCTGTTAACCTCAGTCATGATACTTCAGGGGAAAATGTTAAAGAGGTCTAACCTGCCTGACCACAAAAAACAAAGAACCTGTTATTGTTCCCAGCTACCAAGTTGTAATTTCTAAGCTTTGAAACAGGAGTAGGCAACTTTCTAGCTCACAGGTGTCACATAGCCTTGGACTTGGTTTCCTCTGTCTATCACACCCCTGTATATAGTCTTCTTTCTGAATGTACCTGCATAATGAAAAAAAATACCTTCAAGGCTTTCAGTGACAATGTTCTTGGGACTTGGGATTGTAAACCCTCAAACAAGACCTTTGGGGCAAAGGTGGCACTTCCCACTACCTAGTAAGTTAAGGTTGTCACTCATGCGAGAGAGGAACTTCATGAATGCTTTCTATTCCATCCCAATGTCATTTCCCAACAAGTTCTAGAAGCCACTGTCCAATTTTCAGGTCGTGGTTTTCAATGCTTGCTTTGGGAAAGATTTGTGATCTTTTATTTTTCTGTTTTCTTTTCTCCTCTTTTCCCCCTTTCCTTTCAACTTCACATAGCATAATAAATAATGAAAACATCTTATCAATGATTGTGTTTATGGGATAGACTTTTCTTTCCTAGGTTTAATTTAAAAGCATCCTTTATGTTCTACATTTATCCCTGTGAAACAACTATAGCAAGTTGCTTTTCAATTATATGGCTTTGCATTTAAAGCAAAATATGTGACCTTCAATGGAAAAACCGATGCTTCTTTTGCACTGAGTTTATGTGAACTAATGATTAAGGCATTGAACTTGATCCTACCTCTGGCTTTGCCGTTAATTAGCTGTGTGGCCTTGAGTGAGACATTTGATAGTCCTAAATCTTTTTCTTTACATATGGAATGAGGGGACTGTACTGTACCTATGATTCTAATCTTTTGGCACCCATCTCATGTCCCCTTAGGGGCACCTGTTATTGTTTGTTTGTACAAAAGAATATTGAGAATGATTAGTATGGATGGAAAAAGCCTCCAAGTGTGTAAGATATGTTTCCTTCAGGAATGGAATAATGTATACTCTCTCTTTTTTCTTTTATTCATTTTGTTAGAAAGACAGTCCTTTCCCTGGCTCCCCTACAGAAAGATCTCCCATCTACTGATTCACTCACCAAGGCTGGGCCAGGCTGGAGCCAGGAGCCTGGTGTTCTGGTTCTGCCATGGAGGTGACAGGCACCCATGTTTGATACATTCCATGCTGCTTCCCCTGGTGCGTCTTAGCAGGAAGCTGTGTCAGAAGCAGAAGACCTAGAACTCAGACCAGACACTCCAACATGGGATGCAGGTGCCCCAAGTGGCTGTGCCAGATCCCTGCCCATAGAGCATGAACTGCTTTCTGAAATTCCTGCTCTCAGGTTGACTACTAAGCAGTATTGGTCCTATGAGGAGGTAAATACTTGCCTAGTCTGATTTTAGCTGTGCCCTCAAGTATCTGCCCAGATCAAAATCTTGTCTGCTCTCATCCCTTCCCCCATCCTCCCAGCTGCAACCTCCATTTATAGAGCCAGCTTTATTTGAACCTGAATTTTTGATCATTGAAGTCACTATTGGGTTAGCCCAGGTTTGCAAACCATTTTCTAAGGGATGCTCAAGTCAAAAGGACTTGGGTCAAATAAGTTTGAGAAATGTTGCCTCTTATAGCCTCATCTCCAAAACATATCTTAAAAACTAGTTTATTTAATGTATTTGGAGAGAGATATCTTTCATCTGCTGTTTTATTCCCCAAATGACTGCAGTGGCTGGAGCTGGTCCAGGCCAAATACAGGAGGCTGAAACTCCATCTGGGTCTCCTACACAGTGGCAGGAGTCCAAATACCTGGGCCATCCCCCCACTGCTTTCCCAGGCACATCAGCAGGGAGGTAGATTGGAAGCAGAGCAGTGGGATTCAAACTGGCTCCCCAGAGTGAGATGCCGGTGTCACAGGCAGCAGTTTAGCCACCTGTGCTGTCTGCTGGTCCCTAGGTTAAGGTTCTTGAGATGAGGTCATCCTGGATTCTCCAGGTGGCCTCCAAATTCAGTGCCAAATGTCCTGCTAAGAGACAGGCAGAGGAGGACAGAGGTACAGAAGAGGGGATGATGTGACCACGGGGGTGATGTGGCCACAACTGCAGGATTGCCAGTGGCTTCAAGAACTAGAAAAGGCACATTGTGTCCCCTAGAGCCACCACAGCCCCACAGACCTGGAGATCCCAGCTTTCCTATCTCCAGAGCTGTAAGAGAATCAATTCCTGTCGCTTTAGTAAGCCATGCAGTTTGTGGTCATTTGTTAGGGAGGCCACAGGACACTGATACAGAAGCGAAGAGCAGCAGAAGGGAACTGAGCAAAGCCTCAGCTGCTCAAGAGGTCAGCAGTGTCGCCTGGGTTGGCCCTGACTGGTGTTTACCTAGCATGGCTCAGTAAAAGCTGTCTCTGAACCTGGTGTGCCAGGGAGTGTGGCCCCTCTTCGTCATGCCTGAGTTCCTCGGCAATGGCCTTTGTGATGTGGATGTGAACGTCTCTCCTTCCTCCGCCAGGCCACAGAGGCAGAGTGCTGCACCTGGCTTTGAGTCCAGACCAGACCCGGGTGTTCTCTGCTGCAGCTGATGGGACAGCCTGTGTATGGAGCTGCTGCTGGCCACCCCGTCCCTCTGAACTTCAGTCTCCTCCATCCTAAGTGAGGATAACCAGATTGGCCTTGTCTCCTCCAAGGGGTTGGTAGGGGAAATGAGACAGGCTGAAGCCCTCTTCCGATGGGCATGGCTGTGCATATTCCTTTATTTGCTGTTTCCTCCCATTGCATTTCCCAGAGGTTGTCTTGGACTTCTTTTATTCTTTCTCAGCTTTACTCATCTTTCTTCCTCCTCATTCTCCTCTTTTACGTCCTCCTCCTCCCCATGTCTTCCTTTTTAGATGTCTATTTTCACTAGTTTAGTCAATACAATGTCTATAGTACAGATTTCTTTTTTTTTCAATGATTTATTGGGAAGGCCAAGTGACAGGGAAGGAAAGAGGGAAGGAGAGAAGGAGGGAGAATGAGTGAGGGAGAAAGCAGAGGAGTGGGGGGTGGGGAAGAGAGAGCGAGAGCGCGAGAGAGAGACAGAGATTGATTTTCTACTGATTCACTGCCTAAATGCCTGCAATAGCCAGCAGGACCAGGTTGAAAGCCAAGGGCTAAGAACCAGGAACTCCATCTGGGTTTCCAACATGGGTGGCAGGGGTCCAAGTACCTAGATTGTCGTTTACTACCTTCCAGGTGCATTAGCCAGAAGCTGGATTGGAAGTGGAGTAACCAGGACTTGAACCAGTGCTCCCATGTGGGGTGCAGGTGTCTCAGGTGGTGGCGGAATCCACTGCACCATGTACACTTGCTAAATAGCAGATTTCTAGCTCTTCTTTCCAGTTGACTTTTCTACCAAGCTCTCACCTCATATTGCTGGCTGCTCTGGATATTTCCTTTTCAAGATCCTGTCCCATCTTTAGCTCAAGCTCAGTACATTGAACACACAACCCAATTCACTTGAAGAACACTTAGTAAAATCTTACAGTGTGCTAGGCAGAATATATATAATACATATTATTTCCTGTTAAAACTAGCTCTCCTATACGACTCCTTTTTCTCTGTCTTGGTTCATTTTGTGTTGTTATGACAGAATACCCAAGACTGGGTAATTTTTAAGCAATAGAAATTTATTTGGCTTACAGTTGTGGAGGCTGGCGTGTCTAAGCATGGCATGGGCATGATGCAGCATCACCGCATGGAAGGTGGAAGGGCAGGAGAACTCGTGTGAGAAACAGAGCAAGACAGAGGGGGCCGCTTTTATAACAAGCCCTCTACTGAGGCCCCAGAGAAAGAGTTAATCACCTCTCGTTAGGCTCTCCTCCCGACACGGTGGCCCTGGGGTTTGAGTTTCTAACACAGGAACCTCAGAGACACATTCAAACCACAGCCCCCTCTTCACAGCCTCATCCGTAACCTGGTCAGCTGGTCATGCAGGGCCGCCTCCTGATCACTCTGCTCCACCTTGGCTTGCTTTACCCATCGTTCTCTTCTCTTTTGTTTCACCTGGTCATGTCCTGAACCTTTCATGACTCTCTGTTACCTAAACCCCTTGACCTCAGCCTCTGCAGTGCTGAGCCCAGAACTTGACGTTAGAGGACCTACTTCTTTGCTCTGTCGTGTACTGATTGTGTGACCTTGGCTGGGTTGCAACATCTGTAAGAATAGAAATTTGGATTTGATCACTGCTAAATGTCCTCAAAGTTTTATTTTTTTAGTTAAATTTTTTGTTGTTGTTGATAAAGAGACAGAGAGACACGGAGAGCTATATCCAACCTGTTGGTTCACTTCCCAAATGCCCACAACAGCCAGGGATGGGCCAGGTTGAAACCAGGAGCCTGGAACTTGAGTCTCCCAGGTGAGTGGGTGGCAGGGACTCAACACCTGGGCCATCGCCTACTGCCTCCCAGAGTGCAGAGGAGCAGGAAGCTGGAACTGGGGGCAGAGGTGAGACTCCAATCCAGGACTTTGCCTGTGCCAAACTCCTGTGCCCCTTCTAGGCTGACCAGTCTACTGTTCTTTTTCATGTTAATTCCCACTCATCTCCTAATTAACCCTTGGCTAAATCTTGTTCTTTTCTGCTGTGGTACCTTTGGTGGGGATTTGCTTCTGATCTTGAATCCTTGTTTCTCTCCTCCTTTTCTTTATACATCTGCACAAGTCCTAGCCTCTCCAGAAGGTGTTTTGAAATATTACCTGAGTTTGAATTCTTGGCATTAGTTGGTATCACATTTACATTAATTTTTGTGTTGTCGTTATCTTAAATCTTTTATTACTGTGTGGGTGTGGGCTTTTAGCTTAGGCCACATCCTACATTGGAGAACTTAGACTTGACTCATGGTTCTGGCTCCTGATTCCAGTTTCTGGCTAACACAGACCCTGGGAGGCAGTGGTGATGGCTCAAGTAACTGTGCTTTTACCACTCACATGGAAGACCTAGATTGAGTTTCCATTTTCTGGCTCTGGCCCGCCCTGATTGTTGTGGGCATTTGGGGAATGAACCAGTGGATGAAAACTATCTGTCAATCTGTCTCTCAAATAAATAAATTAAAAAATATATCGGGGCTGGTATTGTGACAAAGTGGGTTAAGTTTCTGTCTCTGACACTGACATCCATAGTGCATCACTGATTCAAATTCTGGTGGCTCTGCTTATCTAGCTCCCTGCTGATGCACTTGGGAAAGCAGTGAAGACGGCCCAAGTACTTGGACCCCTGCCATCCATGTGGAAGACCTTGATGGAGACAGAGGCTCCTGGGTTTGGCCTGGTTCAGAGTTTGCCATTGCAGCTATTTGGAGAGTGAAACAGCAGGTGGAAAATATTGCTTTCTCTGTCTTTCCCACCTCCCACCTTCCCCACCACCCTGCCTTTCAAATAAATAAAATAAATCTGAAAAGAAGTATTATAATGTTAGTCCTTGGTTATTTTAGTTTTAATATGTTTATTTGTTTCCTGGACAATTAAATTCAGGTGATGAAGGAGCATACATTATACTTTTTGTGTCCCTTAGAATGTTATGCACCTGCCAGAAAACAAATACGGATATATTTGTTTGCTTTGCCATAAACCTTTTCATCTTTACCAATGCAGGCCCTCTCCCTTTCCCTTATCCCTTACCCCCAATCCACAAAACACAGACCCACAGACCTTGATAATTGGACTCATAGTATGTACAAGTGGAGTTAGGATTCTCTCACCAAATGAGCGTTAAGTTGTTGATAAATCCCTACCCCAACACACACTTCTTTTAACTCAGAAAATGCTGGTAATTCTTGCCTTAGAAAATTTTAGGCCACCAAAAGCTGCAAATGTCATACTGTTCTTCAATGCTCTCATTCTTTAAGCCAGTAGTTTTACCGTCACCTTCTTAACTAGCCAACTATGAAGTACTAAGAAAATCTTTAGAAAGGAATGAACAAAACGATGAGAATATCTTAGTGTTCCCCACTTTTATGCTCTGAGTGCTTCTGTCTGAACAGCCTCATGACCCTGTGTCATGACCAAGGACCTCTTCTCCCAGCTCATACAGGTGTGTGAACAAGGGGCTCTCATTTAAGAAAAATGTTAATATGCTTTTGGCTGCTCTTAGGTTTGGTGGGAAGTTTGGGATATGCTTTTAGTAAAGAAAAAAAGTGAACTTCTGGATAATATACAAAAGAAAAGCCTTCATTACAATGGACCCCTTAGTTCTGTAATTGAAAACTTTTGTTAGTAGTAATTCACATGTGGTGAATGATGCTAATATTACAGCTTGATGAGCTTTTACTTTGGGAACAGGTAATTGTGCAGTCACCACCCAGAATGACTGGCTAGCATTCTAAAGGGAACCTTTGTGCCCTTTCCCATTCAGTTTGTGCCACATGTGACTGAAATTTGTTTTTATTTTTCTTTGCTGTATAGTATTATACAAAAGTATAACCATTGTCTATCCATTTTATTGTGGATTTGAGTTATTTCCGGTTTAGTCTTTGAAGAATTAAGGTGCTATGCATATTCCCGAGCACATCTTTGGTGGACAAAAGCACTCAATTTTCTTTGGCACAGATTCTGGAGTGCAGTTGTGAGATCATAGATTTGTATCCATTGAGTCTTAGTAGAAGATACCGATTTTCAGTTTAAGTTGTGCCAATTTATACTTCTACCAGTCATGGGTGAGGTTTACACACAACTGCATTGGAGGTTGTAGTAGGCATATAGAATATCATCTGAGTGTCCCTCTTATTGCCTCTCTGTTAGATGTTAGCACCAGACCTCATGTTCTAGCAGAGGGCTTCTCATTCCTGACTGCATGTTAGAATCATTGAGAAGCTCCTGGGTCCTGCCAAATCCTAATTGAATCAGAATCTCTAGAGGGAAGGCCTAGGCATTGGTACTCTAAAAAAGCCTCAGGAATCTAAAGGTTAAAAACCAAAGTACTAGTATATTGATCTAAACTCTGCTCTTTCCTTCGTCGTGAGAGATTGTCTCTTAGTGTTGCTGGAGGTTCTTTTTTGAATACATGTTACGTATCTATGTTTCTGTGTGTGTGTGTGTGTGTGTGTGTGTGTGTGTGTGAATGTATACAAGAGGTCTTCAAAAATTTTAAGGAAAATGTATATTTTGAAAAAAGTTATTTTGCAACACAATAAGGTTATCTTTTAATTCCATTTCCATGACCTTGTTGAATTACCCTCATATACATGTGTACACATATATCATATATATAATGTTTGTATCCTAAAGAGACTGATAGAAAGGGAAGGAGTCTGTTCATGTGATCACATGATCGTATGACTGCGGGGCTGAGGACTCTTTGCTACATCCATGTGCTGAAAAAACTTATTGGAGTTCCTTCCCAAAGAAATCTTTTGGGCCACATTTCAACACTCACTTAGTACCATGGGGATGGATGTCACTATAACCACTAGGTAGACTAGACATTCCCAGACTCAAGGACAAGAAAATCCAAGAAATCACATAGATAATCCAACGCTTAAAGGCAAGCTACAGTGCTGAGAAACAAGGCTGCCATTTGGTTGTATAATTTTCTTGGCTATCAGAGTGCTTTGTCTATATCCCCCAAAATTCTAATTTCTATTCCTCACCTCCCTTTGGAAAATTTGTAAGGAATTATAAATTTCTATTTCTCCTGTAGACTCGAGTTCTTTCGTAAATGTGACTAGCAGGTGTTGATGTGGAACAATGACCTCTGAAGGATGGATTTATTTTCTTTTTACCCAAATGCTTCAGACCAGCTATTTCTATTTCCTGTGAAATTGCTGAGCCCTTCACTGAACTTGTCATTAGATAGAGTTGATCTTATGCCATTCCTGTTGGGTACCACCGAGATAGTCACCTGAGCAGTTCAGGAAAAACTCCCATGGCATTCGACATATGAATCTGCCCCTTGCGGTAGTCACAAGATTGCCCTATGACTGTGCTTCACTGTGGCTGTTGGAGATGTTGCCAGTATTGTTAGAGGAGAGAAACAGAGATGGCTGTGCAAGTTGATTTTATTTATGATAAGATTGACAAGTGACAGAGAGTGAAATGAAGCACAGTTATCTAAACTGCTCTCTTCATAGTCTTATTTATCCAGCTGAGGTGTTTTTTTGACAGAAGGGTATATATGCCAGGCCATCGGGGGTCTCCACATTTATTATCCATGCCGAAGGAAGTGATGCCACGGAGGGTACCCTCACAGATCAAAGGGCTTCCAGAATCTCCCTGGGTAAGACAAGAGGGAAGAGGAGTGGATTCAGTGTCAGACATGAGCACTAGTGAAATGGAAGAAATCCTGCAGCATTTCATATGGAGTTGAGACCTACCTCGATTTAATTGAAAATCATCACTTAAAAAGTTAAAATATTTTATATAATACATTTGAGACTGGTTACTTTCTATCTTCTTCTTTTTTTTTTTTTTTTCAAAACCCACCTATAGTTACTTTCTGGAAATGCTTACTAACTCCTGGGAAAAATTAGTCAATTGCAGGTGGTATAGTCAATTGCAGATAGTATGGCAGAGAATAAAAACTGTGTTTTCTGATTCCACCAGCAAATTGTCTTCCCAAAGACATACAACCAAAGCAGCTCCTTTCAGACAAAAATTGGCCTTGTAAATGCATGAAATAAGAAACCATGTGAGAACCTGAGGTTCTCTCTGGACATGAAGTTACCTGGGGTTACTTCAAAAAGTTCATGGAGGGTTGGACATTTGGTCCAGCAGTTAAGTTGCAGGTTGAGATGCCTGCATCCCATATTGAAGTAACCAGATTCACCAACTTATTTTGTTTCCTGACCCCAGCTTTCTGCTAATACAGATGCTGAGAGGCAGAAGTGACGGCTCAAGTAATTGGTTCCTCACGTCCATGTGGGAGACAAAAATTGAGTTTGTGACTCCTGGATTCAGTCTTGGCCCAGCCCTGGCCATTATGGGCATTTGTGGTGTGACCTAGTGAATGGGAAATCTCTGCCTGCCTGTCTCTCTCTCTCTCTCTCTCTGTCTGTGCTTCTAAAATAAACCAAAAAATTTTAAAACAGCTCATAGAAAAATGGAATTGAGAAAGTTTTATTTTGGTATGAAGAAATATAATCTATGCATAATTTTTTAATAATCCACATTTACATGAACATTTTGAATACCCCTTATTTGCCTTGGTTTGAAATTTTTGTACCCAAATAAAGTTATCTTTTCATGAACTTTTTGAAGAATCCTCATATTTCTCCTTCCTATTATGATACTTGACATTTGAAGAATTATTCCTCTAGCTTTATTTTGTCAACAGCCAATTCTAAGGCATCTAAATAACAGGGAAGAATTGTTAAGCTCCAATGTTAGAGAGTGGCTGATGGATTTAGCATCTTGAGATGTTGATGTGGCCTCGGGATGCTGATAGAATCCCCAAATATGAAGGTTGTAGGCTCCTAGGTGCCCAAAGTTGTGGACAAGGGATGGAATGGTGAAGGAAGTAAAGAAAAGTGGGAATGTTTCCTACATCAAGGTCATCTTTCCCTGGGATCTGACCATCCTTGGTCTGAAGGCAAGACCCAGCCAGCTCCTGGGAAGGGCAGAGACCTCCGGATCTCTCAGTTTCTGATAACCCCCAAACCATGCACATTGCACACACCTGCTCTTCAGATAGGCTCAATAGGGTATTTTGAAAAGGGGGAGAATGACAAGCCAGTGCCCAGAGCTTAAAAATGTGAAATATTTCTTCCACACCTGTCCTCCAGCAAGGCTGTGTCCCATCTCTTCTTGGGGGTTCTGGGGTGGACACACATTCTATGATATGGGCTCATGCTGGGAAGTTGGTTAGTGGGGATTGAGCTCATATCTAGGAAGCTTTGGGGTCTAGCCCAAAGTCTTCAGCCTGGCTTAGGGATGACAGCATTTCAGGCATGCCTGGTTTAAATGGCAGAGGAATTCTTGGGGGTGGGGGACACTGATACAGTGAAAAGGTCTCAAGGGCCTTGAAGAACCTGGACTTCAGCTCTCCTGAGTGGAATATCTTCAAGTTCAGATCCATATACGTCAATATAAGAAAAAAGAAAGAAAAAACATTTTTTATTATAAAATCAAGATGTATCCAGTTAAGAAATGGGCAAAGGACATGACAGGCATTTTTCAAAAGATGAAATACAAATGGTCAACAGCCACATGAAAAGATGTGCAGGATCACCAGTCGTCAAGGAAATGCAAATAAAAGCCACAATGAGGTTTCACTTCACCCCATTTAAAATGACTATCATCCAAAAGACAATAAATAATAAATTCTAGTAAGGATGTGGAGAAAAAGATACCTTAATACACTGCTGGTGGAAATGTAAACTGATGCAACCATTATAAAAAACAGTATAGAGATTCTTCAGAAAACTAAAAATAGATCTTCTGTTTGACCCAACTATTCCACTCCTGGGAATATACCCAAAGGAAATGAAGTCACATATGAGAGAGTTACTTGCACTCTGATATTTATAGAAGCTCAATTCACAATAGTTGGAATATGGAAGCAATTTACATCTCCATCAACTGATGATTGGGTACAGAAAATGTGGTATATATACATGATGGAATACTACTCAGCCATAAAAATGAATGAAATCCTGAATTTTGCAACAAAATGGTAGCAACTGCAGATCATTATGCTTAGTGAAATAAGCCAGACCCCAAAATACAAATATTAGAAGTTTTCTCTGGTTTGTGATGGTTAGTAAATAGAGTGTAAAAATTTAATGTGTGTGAGTCAAATTGGCATTTTTGGATTTGATATATTTGCCTTGTCTATATTCCTGATGAACAATGGTCTTTCTAAACTTTTTACTTGTTGAACTCTATTTAGGGGAGCATTAAGCCTTTGACTATAAAGTAAATTAAAAATGTGTTATTGCAAAAATTAGAAAAGAAAGGAAGGGAGGGGGAGGAAGGGAAGTATCATTCTATTTTTAGAATTGTATTTATGAACTACATTAAATCTGTTCTCTTTATATTAACAAAAATGTAAGCAAATAAAAAAAGATGTTGTTGGTTAACCCATGCACTAGCAGTGAACTTCCTAGTTTTGATTGATGACCCACTTGGGCTAAGCATTAATTTGGTTGACTTGAGTTTATCAAGGTTCTTTCAAAGAGTGCTAAGACTCTGTAGAAGCCAATACCATGACAACAAAAGCATGACATTAAATGTTCTACATCTGCAGGACCCTCTCTTAACAGCTAAGACGTGAAAGCTTGTTTAACTTACATGGCATGAATCTTTTCCACCTTTGTTGCTTCCAGCACAAATCATATTCAGTCCAATCACAGGATTAAAATTATAGTGTTTGTCATCATTGCAGGTTTTTCTGTCTATGATAGTGACATTGACTTCTTTGAGAGTTTCAGATGGGCGTGAATGATGGTTAACTGTCATCCCCCACCCTGCAACGTGACACAGAGTTCCTGGTTTCACATCCTCTCCCATTTTAGGGAGCTGAAGGACATTCACACTTCGGTTTAATTTTGCTTTCTTTTTCAGCTGTTGAAAAACAAGTGTAAGTAGTTAAAAAGTGAGAGAAATATTAACATTTTCACTTAAATTCTAGCTCAATATTTGCCCCCTCCCCATATGAGTTTGTAACAATAGGGGCACTGGAGAAAAGTTTCCTTATAGGTTGCCAGATTTTATGTGGTCTATGACTTTTTTTTTTTTTTAAGATTTACTTATGTATTTGAAAGAGAGAGAGAAAGAGAGAGAGAGAGAGAGAGAGAGAGAGAGAGAGACCTTCCCTCTACTGATTCACTCCCCAGATGGCTGCGATGGCCAGGGCTGGGAAGCCAAGAACTCCATCCAGGTCTCCCATGTGGGTGGCAGCATCCAAAATACTTGGGCCATCTTTTGCTGCTTTTCCCAAGCTCAGTAGGGAGCAGGATCAGAAGTGGAGCAGCTGGGACATGAACTGATGCCCAATATGGAATGCTGGCATCATAGGTGGTGGCTTTATCTGCTATGCCACAATGCTAACCCCAGGTCTTATGACTTAAAGAAGACAATCAAAGGTACATACCTGTAAAAGGCTAAGATCACCTTCTTTTGCATCTGGGTCATAGCATGGATAGGGAAACTGTTTCCTAATGGCTATTTTCTGTTTCTCTGGCTCAGCTTTGGTTATTGAGTGAGCCCCAAGGATGACCTGGGACGTTCTGCTCCTGAGAACAGATACAAGAGTATTCACTGGGTCTATTGTTTAATGAGGAGTTGAGTATATTATGTGCTGACCAGTTTCATGTCCATTTGTAAGTATGCTTGTTGTGGAGTTGCTTCCTTATGACTCAGAAAGAAAATGTGTTCTTTAAGGAAAAAAACCAATAGACTTATGAATTCATGATCAACATTAACATCATCATCACTACCAGCAGCTAATTTCTTAACAAGCTCAACTAGGTTCATTGAGAAATAGGTAAGACAATACCATGGCAGCAAAGCCCCGTCTGTGCTTGTTCCCCACTTCTTCTCCCACACTTTTTTTTTTTTTAATCTGTGGTGGGTAGTTAGGCTATCATATTGACCATCACAGGGTTAATTTGCAATAAGGGAGTGCAAAAACAGCCAGGCCTGAGAAGAGATTTGAAGGTAGCTGTTAACAGGAGTTGAGATGGTTGAGGTATGAGAGGGATTTACTAATGGTTCCAGGAAAACATTCAAAATAAGTATCTCTACTTGATGGTGGTGTTCAGGCCCCTATGGGAGAGTATTGAAAGTCTGGCCCTTTCAAGCTGTGACTGTCTACCCAGTAACACAATATGATCAGAAGCAAAGCCTTATAGCACCTGTACCCGTGGCTCTAGTGGAAACCTACAGAAAGGGCTTGGGGATGCCACTTTCTCTTTTGGCTAATTGTTTGTAGCCCATCTAGGACAAAGACAGTTCCTGAAGACTTTCTTGATAAGAATTATGTTTGTGAAGGGCGGGCATTGTGGTACAGTGGGTTAAGTTGGGGTGCCTACACCCCATATTGCAGTGCCTGGGATCAAGTCTCACCTTTGATCTTTTTTTTTTTTTTTAAGATTTATTTACTTTACTTGAAAGTCACAGTTACATAGAGAGAGGAGAGGCAGAGAGAGAGCAAGAGGTCTTCCATCTGCTGGTTCACTCCCCAGATGGCCTTAATGATCGAAGCTGCACCAATCCGAAGCCAGGAGCCTCCTCCAGGTCTCCCACGTGGGTGTAGGGGCCCATGGACTTGGGGCATCCTCCACTGCTTTCCCAGGCCACAGCAGAGAGCTGGATTGGAAGTGGAGCAGCTGGGCCCCTAACTGGCACCCATATGCAATGCCAGCACCACAGATGGTGGCCCTATCTGCTATGCCACAGTGCTGGCTCCTCACCTTTGCTTCTAATCCAGTTTTCTGCTAATGTGCCTTGGAGGCAGCAGATGATAGCCCACATACTTGAGTCCCTGCCATCCACGTGGGAGCTTCAGATGGAGTTCCTGACTGCTGGCTTCTGCCTGGCCCAGCCTGGCTTTTGAGAGCATTTTAGGACTGAACCAATGGATGGAAGACATTCTCTCTCTATCTCTGTCACTCTGTCTTTCAAATAAATAAGCAAATAAATAAATAAAATTATAAAATCAAGAAGAAGATAAGAAAGTGGACATGAACTTTCCATGGCTTAATGGGATTTATTATTTTTATTAATATTTCCCCATATCAGGATATCTCCACTTTAAAAAGCAAAAATGAAAACAAAAACAAACCAAAGCACTTACATGTCACAGTGAGCTGCAGTCAACACCCAGTCTTTTGCAATCAAAGCACCAGCACAGATTTTTTCCTCATTAATTTTGAGCAGGGCCATGTAGGGTCTTGAATGAGGAGTTACCTCTTGTCCTCCAATGATTCTTACACACACATCTGCTTAATAGAAAAAGACAGATCACACTGGTGTCCGCCCCAAAGAACTCTACCTAAAGCCTTGCTTCTAAGACCAGGCATGCTTTTCCTGCTTGGAGGGATGGCATGGATGAGGGCACTTATGCCCCCTGCTTTTACTCCACGTGGACCTGCAGACCCCTGACTCTAAGTGCTGTCTCTGTTGGAGTCTCGGAGAAGTCTCTCCTCCTTTACCCACAGAAGCCATGCATTGGTGTTCCAGGGTCATCAGACTGGACATTCAGCAGAAACCTCCACCCTCAGGCCTCAGATCCTGCAAAGAGCCTTGGTCTACACCAGCAACAGTGGCTGCAAGAGATGTTACTTTCACAGTGACCTTCAGTGCCCCCAATTATTTCTGGCCAAGTATTTTTTTTTTTAAAGATTTATTTATTTATTTGAAAGAGTTACACAGAGAGACGGAGAGGCAGAGAGAGAGAGAGAGAGGTCTTTTATCTGCTAGTTCACTCCCCAGATGGTCGCAATAGCCAGAGCTGCATGGATCCAAAGCCAGGAGCCAGGAGCTTCCCCCGGGTCTCCCACGTGGGTAGAGGGTCCCAAGGAACTGGGCCATCTTGTATTCCTTTTCCAGGCCATAGCAGAGAGCTGGATCGGAAGTGGAACAGCCGGGACTCAAACCAGCGCTCATATGCGATGCCGGCACTGCAGGCGGTGGCCATACCCACTACGCCACAGCGTCTGGCCAAGGATTAATATGGAGGATCAGAGGGGGTTCTTAGAAGCTTGAGAACTTCCTGTTTCACCACAAGCCCTTGTAAAAACACAGCTTACAAACTAATGCTTACACAGTTTAAATGTGATCCTTCTCACGCATTCTTCCGTCATAGTTAGCTTCTGCTTATTGAATTATATTGTCTTATCTCATTGGTTGAAGGAATAGCAACTGTTGTATCTAAGACTCCTTCAATCTCCACACCAAACCACATGGTTTAATATATAGCCTTTTCCAGAGAAGTAGGGAAAGGGACGAAACACTGAAGTAGAGAGTTCTGCCTTAGTGAAAATTCCCTGATGATAGACTGGGAGTGTAGACTATCGTTAGAGAACAGTGAGACCTGAACGCAGACGAACCACCCATGCTGGCTGAGAGGACCTCGTATCTTTGTGATATATGCTTAGCTTTCCACTGCCATCACTCGGTCCTGAAATATTCTCCAGACCATCGACTAAGACTCTTGTTTTCTTGAATACCGCACAATACATCTTACTCTATAATAAAAGCCAGCTCATTGTCACATCCCCAGCAAAGTGGATATAAAAGCCTTTTATAAGGTTTGAAGAGGATGAGGGGAAGAAGAGGAGGAGGTGACCAGCAGTGAGTTGGAAAGGGAAAATTCTGAACTCTAGAAATAAAAGGGTAAGGAACTTGGAGAAGCCAAGGAACTTCATCACATCCCAGATCCCAGTTTTTCCTAGGGCATCACACATAGATTCCAAAGGTGTATTTTTTTTTTTCTTTCTGGGCTGCAGAAATCATAACCTCAATGAGATACTGCCTTTTGTGTTTGGTGAGTTCATGGCTGGCTCCACATTGGTTGGCCCTGCCTCAGTCCCATAGTGGTCCTCACTTCCTTGTGGAAAGGAAAATTGGGGTCTACCCAGGAGCTTTTTTTCTTCCCTAGATAATGCCATGAATTTTAAAGCACTTTAACTCAAATATGCAGAAGTCACACAAAAGCAGCAGCAAAGCTATCATTTAGTACAACAAAGAAGTAACTTAACAACATGCATCATAACACTCCCCAGTGTCCCAGTGTGTTCTCAGGTAGACTAAAGCCAGAGAAATTATTATAAAAAACCCAAATCATTCTTGCTTTACTTTTGGTGTCTTGGGCATATTTGTCTAACTTGTCTTTAAGACTCTATGCATTTTCTGCAAGGTAGCCTTTGAACTGATGAAGGCACCATGAAAGGTAAATTTGTTTTACTAACTCAAGAGTCTTTTATTTGCTCATTTTTTCATTGTCATTTGAAACTACAAATTGGCAGCAATAAGCCTTGATGGTTCTATTATCTTTTGTAAAAAATATGTAAGGAAGGATTTTTCTCATTTCTAAAAAGTATTTCTAGAAATTCTTAGCATCTGAGAATATTAAAGTTGTTAAGGCTTGGGAAATAAAAACTTCTCTCAGTATAACAAGGTAATATTACCAAAAGTTGATCATCTGTTCCATTTTACTCACTGGTTATAAGAAATGGCAAGGATCAGTCTTACCTTCAGGAATCAGCAGGAGAAAAATGACACCTGAGAGAAAGGATGCCCAAAAGGCACAGGAGCTCCTCATGGTGGCTGAGTCCCCACGTCAATCAACAGGAAAATCTCTTTTTAGTTCTTGATGGCCTCTGCCTATATATCAAGAGTACAAAGGATGTGGTTGCATTTTCAAATGAGCATTAGGAAATGAAACTCAAGCAAGAGAGAACCCTGAGAAATCTCTCCTTGCCAGGAGGTGTGAAGTCTTTTGCTAGGACTGCCAAGGGTGGATGGAGCCTTGATGGTTCTATTATCTTTTGTAAAAAATGTTGCCCTTGGAACATAGCCCACAAGAAGGGATTTCCAAGACCAAGAATGGCTGTGGTATCCAGGAAGAGCTCTCCATAGACTTAAACTAGAGCTTAAAACTCTCCTAAAACTGGTAAAGAGAGATGTCTTCCCAGTTGTCTGCCTGGGCTGCATAATGATGAGCAGGCTAAGTGCAAGTGGGGAACGGGAGGGAGACGTATATGCATGTAAGCTCCTGTCTTAATTGCCTTCCCTGCTCTGGGGAGTCTGTGGCAGGGGTGAAGACATGGGTGAGTGGAGGTAGGGGCTGGTGGCCCTTTCCAGCCCTCTCTTTGTGCTTCCCCTGGCTTTTCCCTCCCTTCTTTGCTTCCCTGTTTCTGAACTGAGCTGAGAAAGAAAACTGGAGTCAGACAAAGTTACATAGTTCTAATGTAGGGGAATGTCTCCCTCTGAAAAGAATCAGCCTCCATTCCCAGAGCAGCAGTGTGCAGTACGCTTTCCATTAGCAATGTCTCTAGCTCCTTTTTTGAACTGAGGAGTCTATTAGAATACATACGGTCAATTGTTCTGTCTGGTTGTTGTTGCAACAACTAGCCTCATGGTTAATACCCGGATGACATCAGACCTAGTGGTTATTTTTTCAGTAATCCTATGACCTTAGGACGGAGCCCTGCTCAGACCCTTGTGTTTCCTTTTCCCAGATATTACAAGTGCATGAAAGACTAATCGTTTTCAGTAACAGCACTAGGGTGCCCTGGTTTTGATGAGTAATTTTAGTGAAAGCCTAAAAAAAAAAAATCAAATCTTAATTAACTACATCGACTGAAAATTTCTCACAGGAAACACTGACAATTTTATTTCTTTTATGTGACTGTGGTTGCTCTTCCTCCATTAATTTTGACTTTTAGTAGTTTTATGAGGTATAATTTATATACCATAAAGTTCACACACTCAAAAATATAGCTTTTGATTTATTTGCAGGGTCATAAAGCCATCATGGTAACCAAATTCTGGGGCGTTTTCATCATCCCCAAAGAATCCTTGTTCCCATTAGCAGTCTCTCCTTCCAGCTTCTAATCTGCTTTCTGCCTGCACAGATTGGCCTATTGTGCATGTTTCATATAAATGGAATTATACACTATGAGGTCTTTAGTGACTGACTTCTTTCACTTAGGATACCGGTTTTGAGGTTCATCCAAATTGTAACCTGCATTAATACTTCATTCCTTTCAACTGCCAAATAATATTCATTATATAGGCACAGCACATATTATTTATCCATTCATCAGCAATGCATATTAGGAGTGTTGCTATTTTTCAGCTACTGTGAATAATGTCTCATGCACATTCATGTATAAATTTTTACTTGGACATATGTTTAAAGATTTGCTTATTCATTTGAAAGTCAGAGTTACACAGAGAAGGAGAGGCAGAGAGAGGGAGAGAGAGAGAGAAAGAGAAGGAGAGAGAGAGAGAGAGAGAAAGAGAGAGAGAGGTCTTTCATTCACTGGTTCACTCTCCAACTGGCCGCAACATCAGGAGCTGTGCCGATCTGAAGCCAGGAGCCAGGAGCCAGGAGCTTCTTCTGGGTCTCCCATGCGGGTGCAGGGAGCAGGGGCCCAAGGACTTGGGCCATCTTCTACTGCTTTCCCAGGCCATAGCAGAGAGCTGGATCGGAGTGGAGCAGCCAGGACGGGAACCAGTGCCCATATGGGATGCTGACACTGCAGGCAGCGGCCTTACCCGCAACGCCACAGCACCGGCCCCATAACACTATGTTTTAACATTGTGAGGAATTTCCAAACTGTTTGCCAATGTAGCCACACTATTTTGCATTTCCACAACAGCATAGGAAGTTTCAAATTTCTCATGCCATTTTCTGTTTTGTTATTTTTTCTGTAATTGCCATACTAGTGGGGATGAAATGGTAGCTTATTGTGTTTTTTTTTAATATGCATGTATACACATGTACTTCCATATTAAGCATTAAGAGATACAAGAGTATAATAGTTAAAACAGTACAGTTTCTCAGGACTACCCGTGTTTTAATTTTAACTTCAGTGAGTACTAGCTGTGTGATCTTGGGCAAGTTATTATTATTTTTTTATCTCCCTAATGACTAATGATGTTGAGTTTCTCTTCATATGCTTATTTGCCAATGCACATTTGCATATCTTCTTTGATGAGACACCATGCTGATTTTTAAAATTGGGTTATTTGTATTTTTATTTTTGAGGAATAAATGCTCTTTATATATTCTGAATGAGTTCCTTATAAGACATGCATTGCAAGTATTTTCTCCAAGTCTGTTAATTTGTGTTTTCTTTTTCTTGATGATGTCTTTTGATGCAAAAAGTTAATTTTGATAAAGTCCCATTTATCAATCTTTTTTTGTCACTTGTGCCTTCGGTGCCATATCTAAGAGATCATTGACTAACCCAGGATTACAAAGACTGACTCCTTCATTTTTTTCTAGAAGTGTTATAGTACTAATTTGTTCTTAATTTTAGGCCTATATTTTAGTTCATTTTATGTGTGGTTTGAGTTAATTTTTGTGTATTGTCGAGGTAAGAGTACAACTTTGTTCTTTTGCATGTGGATATTCAATTATTTGAGCATTATTGTGAAAAGACTATTTTTGCCCTATGGAATTGTCTTGGTCCTTTTTTAAAAAAGATTTATTTATTTGGAAGGTAGAGATATGGGAGAGGGGGAGAGAGAGAGATATCTTCCATCTGCTGGTTCACTCCCCAATGGCCTCAACAGCCAGGGCTGGGTCATGCTGAAGCCAGGAGCCAAGAGCTTCTACTGGGTCTCCCACATGGATGGCAGGGATCTAAGGACTTGGGCCATCTTCTGCTGCCTTCTCAGGCACATTAGTAGGGAGCTGGATTGGAAATGGAGCAGCTGGGATTTGAACTAGCACCCATATAGGATGCTGGCACTTCAGGTGGCAGCTTAACCTAACTCCTACACCACAGAGCCAGCCTCAGTCCTTTTGTTGAAATCAATTGAATATAAATGTTAAGCTTTACTTCTGGACTCTCAATTATATAGCATTTCCATATGTATGTCTATCCTTATAGTAGTCCTGAAAAACTTGAATCTACTAAATTTATTTTTTTCTAGCAATCTTGTCCAAGATTTTTTCACTATGAAACATAAATTAAAAAGTTATGTATACAGTTATTCCTTGCCATTCCTGGGAAAATTTAATTTATTCCGGTGTGAATGAGACATTTCAATACTGTTAGGTCAGTAGCTGTCCAAGTGTGGTTTATGGATTCCTTGGGGGTCTTGAGACTCTTTTGGGGGCCTGTGAGGTCAGCAATACCAAGGTGTTGTTAACCTTTCCCTTCCCATATCAGCGTTAGTATTGACTGCAAAAGCAATGATGAGTGAAACTTCTGGTGCCTTAGCATCAATTGGTGCAGTTACATCAAACTGTGTTAGTTAGTAGTCATCGTAAGGTATTTTCAAAAAAATAAAAATAAAAAAAAATAAAGAAAACCTCACAAAAGCCAGTTGCTTTCAAGAATGTCCTTGATTAATTTTGTGTGGTGTGAGTAGTTTGTAAGGCCCGCCTAAAGCCCTTTGGCTGCATTCCGAAGTGTGAGGTTGTCTTGCTGAAAAACACTGCTTGGGATGTGAGCTGATCGCTCTCTCTTCATGGAATACTATTTTGACATGGAAGAATGCTGACGAAGTATGGTTATGCAGACCTGGGTATTTGGCAGACTTTTCTCAAATATGAAGAAGTGAGCCTGACACTTTTTTTTTTTAAAGATTTATTTTATTTATTTGAAAGAGTTACAGAGAGAGGTAGAGACAGAGAGAGAGGTCTTCCATCCACTGGTTCACTCCCCAGATGGCTACAATAGCCGGAGCCAAGCCGATCCGAAGCCAGGAGCCAGCAGCTTCTTCCGGGTCTCCCACGTGGGTGCAGGGTGCAGGGGCCCAAGGACTTGGGGCATCTTCTACTACTTTCCCAGGCCATAGCAGAGAGCTGGATTGGAAGGGGAGCAGCTGGGACTAGAAGCGATACCCACATGGGATGCCGGCACTTCAGGCCGGGGCCCTAACCCGCTGCGCCACAGCTCCAGCTCCGACACTTTAATATTTTTATAAAGATTTGTTAATTTATCTAAAAGTCAGAATTACACAGAGAGAAGGAGAGGCAGAAAGAGAGAGAGAGAGGGAGAAGTGTCTTCCATCCTCTGGTTCACTCCCCAATTGGTTGCAACGGCCAGAGCTGTGCCCATCCGAAGCCAGGAGCCAGGAGCTTCTTCCAGGTCTCCCACATGGGTGCAGGGGCCCAAGGACTTGGGCCATCTTCTACTGCTTCCCCAGGTCATAGCAGAGAGCTGGATTGGAAGTGGAGCAGCCAGGACTCGAACCGGCGGTGGGCCCAAATGGGATGCCGCCACAGTGCTGGCCCCTAGCCTGACACTTTAAACAAAGCGCTTCTCTATTTTTGTGGAGAATTAAGCCTGTGACAACAAAGTAGATTCAAAGTATGCTACTGCAAAAGTTAAAAGGAAAAAAAAATTGAAGAAAGAAGAAAGGAAGGACAAAGGAGGGAGGGTTGGAAAGTATCATTATGGGCTTAAAATTTTATATATGAGATACATGAAATCTGATACCATTGTATAAATAAAAATTAAAATTAATAACAATAAAAATTCAAAAATTAAAGCACTAAAAAAAAATCTCATAGAAAGAGCCCCTAACAAATGATCCTCTAAAACAATCCCCACCACCCAACCAAACAGAAACCACTGTGGAAGAGCACAAGGGCAAGTGGAGATGATGAATGAGTTTGGCATCTTGGTTGTGGTGATGGCGTCATGGGTATATGCATGTGACCACATTCCTGAAGATGTGTATATTAAATGTGTATATTTTTCCTTATGTTAATTACAAGCATAACACATTAAAACTAAAAAAGGAAAAAAAACACTTTCAATATTTGTTGCTAATGTTATAATTAGAAATTTCAAGTGAAAATCAGAATTTTTGGAAAAATTGTGTCTGCTATCGAGAGCTTGACCTTTTTTCCAGCATTTAAAGACTTTGCTGATGAGGTGGTGGTGATATTAACAAATGCAACTTATTTTTTATTTATCTATTTTTTTTTAAGATTTATTTTTTTATTTGAAAGACAGAGAAGTAGAGACAGAGAGGGAGGTCTTCCATCCGCTGGTTCACTCCCCAGATGACTGCAATGGCTGGAGCTGTGCCAATCTGAAGCCAGGAGCCAGGAACTTCTTCTGGGTCTCCCACGCTGGTGCAGGGGCCCAAGGACTTGGGGCATCTTCCTCTGCTTTCCCAGGCCATAGCAGAGAGTTGGATTGGAAGAGGAGCAGCCGGGGCTAGAAGCAGCGCCCATATGGGATGCCAGCGCTTCAGGCCAGGGCTTTAACCTGCTGTGTCACAGCGCTGGCCCCAAATGCAACTTTAAAACTATCACATAATGGGGTTGGCTTGATACCACATGGAATGCCCACAACCCATATCAGAGAGCCTAGGTTCAAGG